TGTGCCATCGCTGGGACCCCATGGCTCCCCGCAGCAACCCCCACATTCCCATGGGAGGTTGTGAGACCAAACTCTGGGCTAGAAACTGGAGAAGCCTAGATTCTGGATTCTCCCACCCATCTGCAATGCTCATTCTCTCAAATGACTAAGACTACTTCTGTCCCATGATAAGGAAATAAACAAAGCCTTTTGATTCTTCAGCTAGAGGTGGGGGTGGAGGGTGGATCTGATTTTCCGTGTCTTTTGCTTTTTTTTCTCTCTCTTACTTCTACAGACTGGCTTCCAAACACCCCTTCCTCTACCCCTTCACACACACCCCGAAGTTGAGCAGGGCATGGAAGTGAAGAGAAATGTTACTTGAAGCCATTTTCCATTTCAGCCTGACATCAAAAGCTTTAATGGGGATGATCAGTGCGTTTGAGGATTTTTCTGTTTTCTCTGGGCCCTGAAAGGTGGCTCTGCTGGTTCTATGAAGACCCTCAGGGCAGGGAACCTGAATGTCCTTTCTCTTGGGGAAAAAAAACAAAAACAAAATAAAACTTACACACACATAAACACACAATCTGGCTAAGAGAAGAAACTCGACAAATGACGCTTGTGTCACACTCTAGAAGCAGAAAAGTGACTGCAATAAAAGGAAGAGAGCAAATTCTGAAATTCTCTTTCTGGAAACTTGGACGAGACTTCTTTTTCACCGTGGGCCACCTACAGGCTCCTATGGGCTTCAGAAGTGGCTCAGGGTGGAGCAGCCGTGTGGCCCTCAGATTGGCCGAGCCATGGCGGAGAGACTACTGGCCTCCTTGATGCCGGCCAGGAAGTCTTTCTCCATCAAAGGCCTATCTCAAAGGGCATCTCCAGGAGACAGGCTGTGTGACGCACGTGGCATCAGCTCCCCCCAGCGTGGCTTCATGCTGGATCCTCTCTGCTAATAATAACCCTGCCAGCCGAGCAATTATGCTATGAACACATTTCAGGGGCTCATCGGGGTACAGCGGTTTTTGGCCTCCAGAGTTCCTACTCAGAACTGTGGCCCATTTCAGATGCCAAGTTGAGTTTGGCTGAGCCAGATATGTTTCCCAAACCCTCAAGCTTGCTGAAGAGGACCCCTTTTTCCTCTCGTCTTAGAATATAATCATCCTGCACACCTGTGGGGACCTCTGGCCAGCAACTGTCCTGATGTCCTGCCTTTTCATGGCATAACAGCCTCTCCCCCTGGTCAATTACAGAGTGAGTGCAGCTGGGGAGGGATCTGGCCAGGACAGAGCTGGTTGTTCAGCACACATTTGCTGAATTTCCATGTTGTTTGTTGCTGTTGAATTGGCTCCGACTCATGGTGACCTTATGTATTGCCTGGTCCTGCGCCATCTTAATGATCGTTGGTATGTTTGAGTCCATCATTGAGGCTATTCCGTCAATCCATCTCATTGAGGGTTTCTCTTGTTTTTGTTGGCCTTGTACTTCATCAAGTAGATGTCCTTTTCTACTGATTGGTCTTTCCTGATGACTTGTCCAAAGTAAGTGAGTTGAAGTCTTGCTATTCGAGCTCCTAAGGAACATTCTGATTGGTGTTAGGTATGTAAACAAATCACGGGGACTGGATGAGCCCTTTCTTTAAGACAGTCCAAAAGGAGAGAGCAGCCACACACAGAGAGATTTGTCCCACACACAAAGCTACAGGCCCAGGGGCAGTAGGAGGCAGGAGCTGCTCAGGATAATGGGAGAGATTAAGGGGGTGGGGGTGGGGAGCATTTAATCAGGAAATGCACCCAAAGGGCTTGTTCATGAGCCATCATGCTAAGAGGCAGCAGTATATCTGAAATGGGTTAACATCATGGGCGTAAGTGTTTGACCTGTGGTTCAAATCCTGGTTCTGCCAGTTGGACAAGTGACATGGCCTTGGGTGAGTGACATAATCTCCCCAAGTCCCAGTTCTGGCTCTCTGCAAATGGGAAGAATATTACCCACCTCCTGGGGATGGTGATGAATATCAAATAATCCACATCAAGCTGTCAGCAGAGTGCCAGCTCATTGTAACTGATAAATAAAAGACAATCAGTATTACCCCCTTACAATTTATATATCACCTCAAGTGTTAGCTTGCTTGAGCTTCATAACAGCCCTGTGAGGTAGGCAGGGCAACTTTTTACATTTTCCTCATCTTTTAGATGACGAAATGGAGGTCTGAAAGACTTATGCAACTGGTTTGTTTTTGGGCTACAATGCAGGTTTCTCAACCCCTCAGTTTTGGCGTTTTTTCTTCCAGTATGCACTGCCACTTGTCTGTCAGTTTGTTGTACAATGGTGGCTTGCATGTTTCTGTGACGCCAAGCTTGTTTACAAGCTATGTCTCTGGTATTTCAAATATTGGCAGAGTCACCCATGATGGGTAGATTTCAGTGGAATCTCCAGACTAAGACAGACTAGGAAGAAAGACCTAGTGATCTACTTCCAAAAATGAGCCAATGAAAACTCTATGGATCACAACAGAATATTGTCCCATATAGTGCTGGAAGATGCGCCCCTAGGTTGGAAGGCACTCAAAATATACGGTGGCTGCAACAATGGACTCAAGTATACTAATGATCATGAAGATGGTGCAGGAATGGGCAATGTTTCTTTCTGTAGCGCTTGGGGTCGCCATGAGCCAGAGTCAACCCTACAACAGCTAAATACAACAACATGCATTGCATTGAATAGTATACTAAAGTTGAGTTCAGCACTTAGCAAATGGGGGCCACTCATTAAATGTGGACAGTCTCGCTGCCTATTTATCTTTGGGGTTCAGGAAAATTGAGGTTTTAAGTGGTTCAGTCACTTGCCTGGCATTGGAGAAGGACATGGGGGACATAAAGCGCAACTGTGTATATCACATTTGCCTCCCACCTCACTGCATCAGCCATCAAATCTTTCCTGGAAAGGATGGGAGGCCATTACAAGCTTCAAACTCAACAAGTCTGAGCTTCTGTAAACAGTAAGGTGAAGAACTAAAACCACCAGCATCCTCTAAGCTCCTACCTCCCTCAACACCTTGAACAGGATCCTGGGGCATGGGAAGGAGGCAGAGTTTGGGAGAGGAATGACTGATTCCCCAAACTTTTCTTGGTGTTTATATTTGGGAGCTGAATTCCTGGAACCTTCATCACATTGGGTTCCTGGATGATTTAATACTCTAAAAAATAGCCCCCTTTTCACCTGACTGCTGAGAGTAGACTATCAGGAGTGGGGGTGGTTTTGTCTCAGATGGAGGCCGGAGGTCTGCCACGCTGGCTCATGAGTCAGGTGTGAGGCCAGCCTGAGCATCTGGACTGATTTGTCCTGAGCTGCCGGCTGCCTGCCATTTCCTCCTCTCCCGCCCTTATTTGGAGCCCCTGCCAGCTGAACCACAAACCAACTGGGGGAGCTGGGCACCGGCCAACCGCCAGCCTTCGCTTCCCTGCATGGGTCCGGTTGCTGAGAAGAAAGAATCCTGAGGCATCACTGTGAGATAACCAAGGACTCTTTTTTGCTCTTCTCACACCTTTGAAGTGGGAGCCTCTTGAGGCCAATCAGCAAGAATGTGGCTCTTGCAGCCGAGGGTCTGGGGGGTTGCTGGGGCTGCTCAAGGCAGAGGGGCTGGGACAAACTCCGCTGGGCTGATAACTTTAAAAGGGCATCTTCTGCTGGCTCCTCACTCAGCTGCTTTATCGCTGCAAGTGACAGAATGGGGAGGGTTCCATCCCTCTAGTGCTCTCAGAGAGCTGGGGGTGTTATAAAAAGAGGAGGTGCGGGGCAGCTGGTAGACAGAGACGGACAAAGGCCACACGAGGGAACCCAGAGAGGAGGGAGAAGAAGCAGCAAGCACCAAACCACCTCTTGGCCAACGCCAGCATGGGCTCCTTCTCCACCACCACCGTGGGCTTCCTCCTTCTCCTGGCATTTCAACTCCCAGGTCAAATCAGAGTGAACCCTGTGTACACATCCGTGTCCAACGCAGACCTGATGGATTTCAAGGTAAGGCCAAAAAAAAGGGGGCTCAGCCTGGGACCAAGGGGATTTCTGATACTGTGCCTATTTCTGGTGATTTTTTCCAAGTCCATGAGACCTCTCCCTTTCCCTGTATTTTCCTTTTGTAAAGAATTTGCTGGACCGTTTGGAAGACAAGATGCCTTTAGAAGATGAGGTCATGCCCCCACAAGTACTAAATGAGCAGAATGATGAGGCTGGGGTGGCTCTCAGCTCCCTCCCTGAGGTGCCTCCGTGGACCAGGGAGGTCAGCCCAGCCCAGCGAGATGGCGATGCCCTTGGGAGGGGCTCCTGGGACCCCTCTGAAAGATCTGCCCTCCTGAAAAGCAAGCTGAGGGCACTGCTCACTGCCCCTCGGAGCCTGCGGAGGTCCAGCTGCTTCGGGGGCAGGATTGACAGGATTGGAGCCCAGAGTGGCTTCGGCTGCAACAGTTTCCGGGTAAGAGGAGTGGGGGTAGAAATGGGGTGGGAAGGAAAGAGATTGTGGTTTTGTTGAAGCTGAAACCTTGTCAAAGAACACGACCAGGGGACACTTTCAGCAGGAAAGGGGCCAGCATAAAGGTTTGTTCCCTTTGAAATTTCTGTCCTAACTCAGTGAGTGACCCATCAGGACAAAAGCCATCATCCTCAGCTACTGCCACTACCCATTGCCGCATTGCCGTCAAGTCAATTCTGACTCATAGCAATGCTATAGGACAGAGTAGAACCGGCCCATAGCGTTTCCAAGGCTGTAACTCTTTATGGAAGCAGACTGCCACATCTTTTTCCCTCGGAGTGGCTGGTGAGTTCGAACTACTGAACTTTCGGTTCTCAGTCGAGCACTTAACGACTGTGCCACCAGGGCTCCTTCCTACTGCCACTAGCACAGGGAAATTAAAATGTCCATAGACCCACTACTAATTGGTGTTCATGTTCCTTCCGAGAATTGCAAGATCCCAAAAAATCAAATAAAATTGACTAGGGCTGCCCTCACTAGCTCCTAATGAGTAATTTGTTTACCAGTTCATGAAACTCAGAGGGTCATCAGGCTGGGCGTGGGGGCTGATAGAATTAACTGGTCAGAGGTCAAGTTCAGAGATGTAGCACTGGCATCCAAAGCTGACTTCTCCAGTAGAGCTGGTCACCAACCCAAACATGTCTGTGTTCTCTTTGTAGTACCGAAGATAACGGCCAGGGAGGAAAAGGTGGTCCAGACCCGGGCAGACTCCGAGACCCTCACCCCCTGGGATCTCCCACTCAACCTTGTTCCATCCCATTGCCATTGAGTTGACGAGCACCTGTTCCAGCGGCAGATTCTGGTCAACGTTTCCCCTGTTTTATGCTAAGTGTAGATAAAATGGGTTAATTGTGTCTTCCCCCGCCTCTCCTACCCCCATGCCATTAACGTTTAGGATACACCCCACCTGCTACTGAAAGCGGTTTGAAAAATGAATAAATGTCAGCACCACGGACAGAGGCCCATGGCTTGGGTTGGTGTGATTTCTTTCGTTTCCAGGGGAAGAGAATCCAGCCCAATTTTCCTTGTCAAAGAAGCCCTGGTGGTACAGTGGTTAAGCATACGGATGTTAATCAAAAAGTCAATGGTTTGAATCCATCAGCCAATCCAAGGGAGAAAGATGTGGCAGTCTGCTTTCATAAAGATTACAGTCTTGGGAACCCTATGTGGGCAGTTCTACTCTGTCCTATAAGTCGGAATTGACGGCAACAAGGTTTTTTGTTTTTTTTTAAATTCCTTGTCATTTTACCCTTTCTCAGAGGAGTTCTCAGTTTCTTTCTCCCTTTCATTCCTTCCTCCCTCCCTTCTTTTTTTTTTTTTTTGGCCTCAAACCTGCTCTGCCTTTCATTCCAGCCTCAGTCATGAGTCCCAAGAAAGCCCCAGGAGAAAGTTTAGTTTAAATTTGCTCACATCCAGAGCACTTATTTATTGAAACACAGATTTACAAACAACTGGACTTACTTTCTGGTTACATCTAACGTAGTTCGTGCTCAATAGACAATTTTTGTGCTTATAGGCTTCTTGGTTACAGTTATTTTTAAAAAGCACCCTATAATTTGAGAGTACTAGCTGAATTTCCTCTGATACATTTTGAGAGAGTTAGCTGCTGGAGGCGAGTGAGTTGCACTTCTGGTTTGGAAAAAAGAAGGCAGCGTGTTGGGTTTAAAAACTGAGAAAGGGAAGAAAAATGCTTGCTCTGCTGATGGAGAGTTTATGTGTCTTTTGGGTGTTAACACATATGCCTAAAATATAGCCGTCATCTTTCCCTAATTCAAGTCCACGGTGCCTGGACTTGTGAATTTTACTGAGACTATGAAGACCACTGGGGCAGATGCAGCATTTTTTAATCTGCTTCTGAAAAAGGTGTTGTCCTAAGCAGAAAATACCAGGCATTAAGTTCGCCTAGAACAGGCAGTAGTACTCTAACCTATTTTCCCATCTGTACCCACCTGGACTTTGCTCTCCACATCAGATCCTGTGCTACTCCTTCAGCCCTCCTATACCTACCTATGCCCCTCTCTGTGCCCTTACTTATGCTGTTCCTTCCACCTAGAATGCCCTTAATCCAGTCCTCCTGAGAACATTCTGTTCATTCCTCAAAGCTCATTGCAAATGCCACTTCTTCCCTGAAGTCTTCCCTGATACCATGTGCCGGTAAAAAAAATAATCTCTTCTTCCTTTTTCCACTGGCAGCACTGCATATATAACTGTTACAATATGACACAATGTTGTGTGTGTGTATATCCCCAAAGCAGGCGATTGCAAGCTCCTTGAACATAAGTGCCCCTTCAGCACCTCCTACAGCACATAGCAGTCAGTGCTAGATAAATTTTGGTCAATTGTCTTGGTCTTGTACAGAAATTGGGAAAAGGGGAAATAACGTAGCAATTCACTCCTTGTAGAAGGGAGAGGAGGCCAGAAGAGAATTGATGGTTAGGGAGTGGGGCTAGAACTCTAATCTAACCACTTCCAATAAAGATGTGCCTTACTTGAACTTCAAGCTGAAGGGCAGAAAACCAAGAAGCAGAGAATGCCAAACAAAGACAAGGGTAAAGAGACAGGCACAGCCATCTGGCCAAAGCAGGCTCTGAGACCCAGCACAGGGGAGTGTGAGTTCCTAGGAGGGGAAGACTGGTGGCTAGGCAGATTCCCAAGGTGTCATTGAAACACAGCGGGTTCTCATCCGATGGAATCTACTTAAAGTGCCATATACATAAGGTAGAAGATGCCCCTACAACTTGGAGAAGACTTAGGGATAGGTGAAGGAGCCCGAATGTCTGACCTAGATCGTTTCTACCACTGCCAGAATGGCAACTTCAAGTAGATCACAGACAAAGAAAGTCATGTTTCGTGCAAAACAAAACCCAAGTGAACGAAAAGCAGTGACAGACAGATGGCATTGGCAGAGGCTACCCACAAAGTCTAAACATCTACAGATGCAGCTGTCATTTTTATTTCTTCTGGTTAAATCTCAGGGGGAATCTGTTTGTGAGACAAATTCCTAAATACCACACTGCTGGGAGTACAAATAGATTCTCAATCTATTGCTCTGGGAAGCAGCACCTGGAAGGAATAGGTGGTCTTTATAAGAGGAGGAGGATGTAACACATTTAAACAAGATGCAACGCATTGCATTAAACAAAATGTGATGTGGTCATGGAGCCCTTGGGTGGCGTAATGGTTAACATGCTAAACTGCTAACCCAGAGATTGGTGGTTCGGATCTACCCAGAGGTGCCTCGGAAGAAAGCCCTGGAGATCTACTTCCAAAATCTCAGCTGTGGAAAACTCTATGGAACACAGGGGGCCGCCATGTGTTGGAATTGAATCAATGGCAACTGGTGTGTTTTTTGTTTATTTTTTAAATGTGTACTTTTGAAGAGAAAAACAGAGTAGTGGTAACTTCATGATTTTTGCTAGGATCCACAGGACTAATGTGTTATGATTAAGGTAGCTATCTAACACAGACAAGTGGACTCCCCTGAACTGATGAGGTATGCTGGGAGAGCTACACAAGGAGAGAACAGAGACTATAAAACTACTTTCCAGCTTTGCAATTTTTACATATTAGAAAGAGGGAGGGAATAAATAAAAAACCAAGTACTATGCTAAAAAAAAGCACCGTGGAGACAAAAGGCTAAAGGAGACAGATGAAGGCATTTTATTCTGACATGTTACAGTTACAATGAGAACTTCCAAGTTCCAAAAGTTCAAATAAAAATAGATTTTTACAAGTTAAAAAAAATACAATTTATATACACAGTGGAATTAGCCAACATTACTGTATTAACAAACAGTGCAAACAGAAAAGAGGAAGCTGCTGCTGTGAAATGGCCAAAGCCCACAGGAGCTGGGGCAACACTGCGCGTCAGTACTGCACAGGCCCTCAAGGAGGCGCTCTCCTCCATCCATGAGGACCAGGTCGGTGTGCAATTTTGCCTCAGAAATGTGATATGCTCGGCTGGGCCAAGCAAGCAACTGTCTGTTCCAGCTTGGAACTGTTAGTTAAACAAGATCAGGATCAAATCATTCCCAGAGAGGGAAGGGCAGGACCAGACTTTTGTGCCCCCTCCCCAGTCGCCTCAACCACAGCACAGCAAGCCGGAGACACAGAAAGAACCTCCAATCAGGCCCAGGCCCTGCCCCCATTGGTGTGTGTTTTATTGAGGTGCCTTGTCACTGGGAGGTGATAGAAGCCGAGCTCTCTGGGGCTGGGGAATCGGGAAGATTTTGGAAATGTTGGTCTGGTTTCTAACACAGAACTCAAAGGACAAGGCTTACAGCTATTCTGTTACAAGTGGAGAAACTGCTATCTTTGGGCTTTTCTGGAAAGGGCAGATGCAGACCAGAGGTAAGGAAACAGTGTGCCTCTGCAGAGGACCCTGGGCCCTGGGTCATCCAGCTGGTTCAGGAGGGCAGGGAGGTATTTGCATTCTACTATCTCTGGGAACAAAATATCTGGCGACTCAAATACAATGCAATGTGCACAAGAGACAAATTTCAGCAACAATCACCTCAGGGCGGCCTCAAGGCCAGTGGCAGGGGACCCACCCTGCTTTGGAGGCCAGAGGTCCTCTTGCAGGACTTCAATTCTGCCCGCTTCAGAGAGTCGTGGACAAGGGGGACTCGGTGTTCGTGACAGACTGCCATGCCACTCTCCCAACTCGATAACTGGGTATCTTCTTAATAAAGGAAGAAAGGACATGGCCAAGCTCTGGACGCCTCTGTAAAATAGAGCAGAAACTAGTGGAGCACAGTCGTATGTGGATGGTTTACCTTTTTGATCTTGTGATTTCCTGAACTCTTGATTTTGGTCAAAGAGATGAGAAAATGGGCCTGAATGGAGGGGGCCACGGTCAGTTGGAAAAGATCTAGAAGCAGCAACTCACTTACGTGGGATTCTTCCCGAGAGTGCTGAGCTCAAGAGCTGAACTGGCCAAGCCAGGTCTGCCCTACTCGCAGCCTGAGAGGTAGGCTGGCAAAGGGAGTTTGGGGCAGGGCTGAGGGTGAGACAACAGGCTGCCATCCTGGGTCCCAAAGCACACCTGCTCAGGACTGCCTGTCAGGATGAAGACTCTGACAAATGTGTAGAGAAGTGAGCAGGAGTAGGAGGAAAATGAACGCCCACCTGAGACCCAAAGGCTCGGTTTTGGTGCCAATTCAGGAATGCGGGCAAATTTTAACCAGCCTGGAGAGAAACTAAGTCACTGAAAGAAACGAGGGGGTTCCTGTGTTTTATGCTGGCAGGGAGCATCTCCCCCACAGTGCTGCAGGCCCTCTGGGAGTTTCCATTTCTGAGCCCCCAGCAGGTTGTGGACAGCTAGCAGCCAGGGAGTGAGAGAAGTTTATGAAAGGTAGATACCCTCTTCCTCGAATAAACCATCTGCTTTAACGTAACACTCTGGCTTTCCCAGCTGCTTCACACACCTTTTAGTGGTCACTAGCTCAGGACTCTACTCCCTTCCAGCTTATAAAAAACTGTACCATTCCCCTAAGTGAAGTTAGCAGTTTCACTGAGGGGCACCCTGCTTTCAGTTAACTTTGAAGGGTAATGCCAAGATCCTGGCTGTGCCTGCTTCACCAGGAAGGCATAATAAAAAGCTAAGCAAGGTTTAGAAGTCTGTGGAGGATGAAAAGGACGAGGGTCAGATCAGAGTAGAAATGCGTTCCTAGGAGACCTCCAGGAATTTGAAAAACGCCGAGAACGCTGAAGTGTTAGAAACACGGGGGGATGTACTTCTGCCACTATTTGAAGATTTTCCGTTCAGAGACTATTCCTGGGGTTGTAATGCTTTGTGCTTCTGCAAGGTGTTGGGTGTAAGGAGATTCAAACCACAGGGCAAGCCTAGAGTACCTGCTCACACACCAGAAGCAGAACATTTCCCTCAAAATGAACTACAGATGGTATCAAGAGTCCCAACAAAGGAAGGCGTCCTTGAAGCCTGGATCTTTCTCTCAGGGCCCAATTCCCAAATTTGGTATTAACTGAATTTTGCAACTGGCATCCCCCCAGTGTTTGCCTTGGCCAAACTCCCTCCCGTGGTTTAAGGCAACAGCTGGGTTCCACAGGAAAGCAGTGCAGAGTGGCGGAAGAATGGCTCTGTTGCCCCCCAGTGGCTGAGGCCTGACTTCCACCTCTGGTCTGGCTTCCTGGAGCGGGCCTGTGCCAACACTTGCATGGTACGAACATGGGGAGCAGGAAATGGGAAGATATGCGCTGAGAAAATCAGAAAGTCCAAACTCTGATGGTTCAATACCCTCCCCAGGATCTCCAACCAGCCAAGTGTTTGATGGTTCCAGGCTTTCAGAGCAAGCGAGTGGTGACTAGGAGCCTTCCGTGTCCTGGAACAGCCCCAGCCAGCTGGGCAGGCTGGAATGTGAGTGAGCCGTCTCCCTGGGCAGCTCCGGAGAGGGCAGCGGCACAGGCAGCGTGAAGCCGAGCAGGCTGTCAGATGCTCTGGTAGTGCTGCCGCAGCCGGGCCTGCAGAAACTCGTAGGTTAGGTTGTGCCGTGTGATGATCCCAACGATCTAGGCAGGGAAAGAAAGACCCAAATCACTGGTAAGAGAACGTTCCTTGGCAAGAACATGAATGAAAAGCGCTCGCCCAGCTGCTGTGGTGAGCGAGGGAGCCAGATCGGGGGTGGGGGTCAGAACAGATGCCCCGCGAAGACACTCACTGAATGCTTTCTAACGATGACAAATGATCCAAAACCACAACTCAAACCTGCTGCTGTCAAGTCGATTCCAACACATGGCAATCCCATGTGTTACAGAGTAGAACTGCTCCATAGGGTTTTCTTGGCTGTAATCTTTATGGAAGTAGTTTGCCAGACCTTGCTTCTGCAGAGCTGCTGGATGGGTTCGAACTGCCAACCTATAGGTTAGCAGCTGATCGCAAACAACTTGTGCCACCCAGGGACCTTGATAAATGATCAGGGATGCTCATTTCAAAAGCTTTCTAATGTCTAGGTAAGAAAAAAATAAACAGCTAACTAGGGGTTCATAAACTGGAGGACTATGGGACAAATGTAACTCTACGAAGGTTTTAGTTAGGCCAGCTGAGATCTGAATTTGATGTCTGTTTGAACAGGGCACACGCTCTCTACCTTTCTCAGTGCCACCACACCTAGCCTGCTTCATACATGCATACAACAGGTGTTGCTGTGTCCCACTGAGTCAATTCCGACTCATAGCAACAGAGTCGAACTGCCCCATAGGGTTTCCTGGGCTGTAATCTTTATGGGAGCAGATCACCAGGCCTTTTCTTCTGCAGGGTGGCTGGTGGGTTTGAACTGCTGATCTTTCATTTAGCAGCCAAGTGTTTAACCACTGCACCACCAAGGTTCCTTCGTAACAACTGTAGTCCCTGCTAAACCTCATCATTCCCACCTTTCAGAACGACCCAGGAGAGTCATTTTTCACAATTCATTATAGTGGTTCACATTTCTCACTGGTGCCAACCACACCAAAGCCACGTGATAAACTGTGTTAGAACTGGTCTGCATCGGCAGTTATATTTCAAAGAACACAATTTGATCTATTGCAACAGAATCTGTGTAAAAACAAGCTGTGCTGCACCAGGGTTCTGCTGTATGAAATTATCTTATTTTAAAGAGGTATGATCTCCTGGGTGTCAATTTGGCAATATGTATCGAAAGCCTCAAAACGTCTAACAATAGAGAACTACTGAATAAGTGATTGTTCAGCTATAGAACCGCTAAAATATCATGAGTGAATGCTTTCTGCCATGGACAGTCACTTCCTGTATCCAAACCAAAACCAAACTCATTGCTGTTGAGTCAATTCTGACTGATATTGACCCTGTAGGACAGAGTAGAGCTGCCCCATAGGGTTTTCAAGGCTGTACTCTTTATGGAAGCAGACTGCCACATCTTTCTCCCATGGAGCGGCTGGCGGGTTCAAACCTCCAACCTTTTGGTTAGCAGCCGAGCGCTTAACCACTATACCACCAGGGCTGCAAATCAGGCTCTCTATTAGACAGTATGAATAATGATTTCCTTTCCATTAAAACTTGATAAATAAAATCTCTATTTCTAGATGTACAGATAAAAAAGATTGAAAGCATATATTCTGAAAAGTTAACCTGACTGGCCCTGGATGGTAGAGGTAAGGGTCTGGTTCTTCTTGGTTTTTATTTATCTGAATTTCTTATTTTTCTACAATGAAAAAACAGTTATTTTTGTAATAAGAAAGCAATAAAGTTCTTAAAAAAAGAAAAAATCCGAAAGTATGCAGCAATAACCACTAGGTATTGCATATTTTGAAAGGCACCCTGGTGGTGCAATGGTTAAGTGCTTGGCTGCTAACTGAAAGGTTGGCAGTTCAAACCCACCCAGCCGCTCTGGGGGAGAAAGACTCAGCAATCTGCTCCCATAAGGATTAAACCTAGAACACCCAACGCGGCAGCTCTACTCTGTCACATGGAGTCATTGAGTCAGAATCGACTCAACGGCACCCAACGACAACATTGCATATTTTAAAATAAAGTATTTTGCTTGGAATTCTCTCATCCGATGTTTCAAATTCCCATAATAGGTAGGGAACTGGGAACACAAAGAACAGGTCTCCTGCTCAAGGAGGTGCCCAGTCAAGGGTAAAGAGAAACATTTTAAAATAAAGGAGACTGTCCTAAGTGTTTCTGGTAAACAGAAAAGACAGTGTCACACTGGCGACATCTGCTGGCCAAACCCATTCAAGGCAGAGTCGAATCCCAGAGAAAGGTTTTAGAAACTACAGGCAGTCCCCAGCAGTCCCCAGGTTATGCATGAGATCTGTTCCTAAGTCTGCCTTTAAGTCAGATTTATAGTAAGTCAGAACAAGTACACTTGGTTCTTATTTAGCGTCAGTTAGTCAAACGTCTGTTGTAGTATATAATATATATTTTATCTTTCTATGCATATAGAACACTTAAGAAACACTTTACAGGCATCACAAAGTACTACCTGCATTACTTATTATGAACCATTATATGTTTTAATTACAAATTTTAATATAACAGGCTTTACAGCAGTCTGTTCTTAAGTATGAGTTGTCCATAAGTCGGACGTAGGTAACCCAGGGACTGCCTGTATAACTGCCCGCTGGCCAGCCCCTCGCTTGGCCCGCCCATGCTCTCCTACTCTTGGTGGGGAGCTGCACCGGGGTTTTAGATTAAGGCACCTTCCTCTGGGATCATAATGCTTCCTCCTGGCTGAGCATCCCTGTCATTGGAAGGCGGGTGGATGGATGGACAGCAGGGCACACGGCCGCCAACACACAGGTCTTCTCCACACAGAACTCCACTCACCTCTCCCACAGCGTTCACCACTGGCAAGTGCCGCAGGCCCATCGTTCTGAACAGATTGAAGACTTGGGAGACGTGGGTATTCGGTGAAACAGTAAAGGGTGAGGGGTTCATGTATGGGGTGACGTCCTGCAGAGAGGAGACAAACACAGATCACCTGTGACCATTTCTACCCCAGGATCAGACACAAACGGTACATACCGGCCGAGCTCAGAAGGAGCCACAGCAGCGCTCCCTGCAGGCCAATGTCAGTGACATCCTTCCCAAAGGGACAGCCCCTCTCACCACGATCATCCGTGGGTTCAGCAGCGTCAGGTCCAGGTCATGGATGTCAGGGTACCGTGGGTAATCCTCGGCCATCTCCGCATAAGAAAGGCGTGGCTGGCTGGCACTCTGCAATCCAACCAAGACACTGTCCTCGCACCGAGCAGCAGTGACTGGGGAGGTCACACTTTGGACTCCCTCCCCCTTCAGGCGCATATCCCCCAGCTGAGAGGGAGATGGTGCCAGGCAGTGGCTCTGGAGTCAGACATCTTGACTCAAAGCCAGTTCTGGGCTGATTCCTAGCTGTGTGATCCTGGGCGTGTTTCCTAACCTCTCTGCACGTCCCTTTCCTCATCTAAAGAATGAAAATGCGTTATTCTGAAATAATGCCCCACTTAACGCTACGAAAACAAAATGAAAGAAAAAATAAGACTACGTGGAATTAACAGGCAAAATAGTATTTCTTTTGCTAACACATGTAAAAAAGTTCATTCAGACCAGAAACACGTACGGGAAGGGTATTAAAAAGCCCAATCCTGTCAGACTTCGGGAGGTCACTAGGGGGCGCTGGGAACACCTGGCCCAGAGACAAAGTGAAGAGCTCTGGCTGGAAACACACCCTCCCACTGCTCCCCTGCTTATCAGCACCTGGAGGAGACGCTGACTTCACCGACGGAGGGGAAGCTATGCTTGCTGCGCAACAGCATCCTACTCGTACAAGAACTCCCAAAGAACCGCCTCTCCTCTCCTGAGGTACAAGGAACGTGTTCCTACCACTCCCGTGCCTTCCAGAATCCCGTGCTAACAAGAAGCAAGACTTACTGACTGATTTTCAGAATAACAAACTCCTCGGACAAGCAGGGTGACCAGTTGCGACCGAAGGATCAGGCCGTGGAAGGTCAGAGGGCGGAAGCGCTCCTCCATGGTCCAGTCTTCACTCGGGGACTGGTCAGGGTACAGGTTGGGGTAGGGGGTGTATCTGTTACACAAAAACCAGATGCAGCCTAGTACACCTTCAGCAGGACCACTTCTCGCCACGTCCCCCAACCCACTCCCCAATTCCCGGAAAACCCAGGAACTGGGCAACAACACCTGGTCCCCTGCTGGCCCTAGTGCCCTCATAGAGTAGACCTGCCGGTCTCCCACACAGCTCCTCTCACCTCCTTTCCAGCATCTGCTGCAGCAGGTCCTCCTTCTCGGCCTGCTCTTCAGAGGCGATGTGCTCGTCACACACATTGCGCAGCTCGCTCGAGGGGTAGGACTTCATGGACTGGCTCCGCTTGCGCTGCTCGCCGGCTCGTGTGAGGATGCTAGATTTCTGCAGATGGGAGGGGTGAGGGTGGCAGAGGCCGTGGGCTGCTGCGCATGAGCACACCAGCTGGTTTAAGATTTGGATGACAGTGAAGGTCAAAAGCATACAGCGATATAGGAATGGAAAGAAATGTTCACAGCGACTCAAGGGCTTGTCATTCAAATGAGCCTCTGAGTCCCAGCACTTGGCTAAGACCCTGTGATCCTTAGTGACCCAACATTCCCACTCCTTTGATTTGGGACTAGCTCTTCAATTCTCCATTGGAGAACAACCCCTGTCCTATGTCATATCTTGGGGGAAATGCCCCCCAGCCTCAGCCAGCAATGCCAAGGGGTAGGCACATGACTCAAGGAAGGCAACTAGACTCTCTCCCTCTGGGTTTTGAATCTGGAGCGACCCAAGGACAGAGACCAGCCAGTGCCAATTCTTCCTGGTCCCTAAAGAGAGCCCACTGGCTCCTGGCACCCTGCCACCTTTGTCCCCAGAGCATCTGATTCTGGTTCTTTAGCTATCTGTCAGTCCCAAGGCTTCCAGTTGAGTTCTTCTTGCTTAGGTAGGCCAGACTGCGTTTCTGTTGCTAGTAAGTCTAGAACCCTCCCAGACACAGTGCACACACAGTAAATAATGAATGAAGCCTGCTGATTAAAAATTCATGGCTTCCTAGGGCAAGAAGGAATGCCTGTGTAGATGGCCTAAGAAAGCCTACGCTTGCTACCGATTCTATACCTGCTGTCGCATATAATGAAAACAGTATGCCAACTGTTCCTAAGAGCTGCCACGCCCTCCCTTCCAGAGGTGTGGCAAGCACTAGGTCAGTGTGTCTCCTCCCACTCGCCTTTCCTCTCTGGCTGGTTTTGTTACCTTGAATTTGATGTTGTTACTGATGAGCTGGTTGCCCTTCATGAACTCCTTCTCATTGCCCCGGTTCTCCGTGACCACTGGGAAGGCGTGGTGGACCGTGGTGCGCAGGATGCTGACCAGCGACTGGATGCGGGTGTGTGGGTAGACGTAGGTCAGGTTGGGCTCCATGATGTCACTGGCTCTCAGTCTAGGGGCGGGGGGAGGAGAGGGAAGCACCCAGCCTCACCACGGAGCACACAGCTCCAGGAGCTGATGGGGCTGCCCGGTCCTCCTGCACCACCTGGACTACTGGGGCCTTCTTTTGGACCATCTCTAGTGGCTCCTTCAGCCCAATGCATTCCTTGTACCTCCACCCCCTCTACACGTGCCATTCCCGATGCCTCCAACCCCCTTCCCCTCTTTGTCAGACTGGTGGGCTTTTACTCATCCCTTAGCTTGACACGAATGTCCTTTCACCATGAACCCCATCAGCTTGCCCGATGGTTAGCCATCCCCTTCTGGCACTCCCACAGCACATCCACGTATTGCTGCAGGGTTACTAATTATACCACTGAAACTGAAAAATATATATGCTTGGGTCTTCCTGTAGACCAGGCGTAGGCAAGCTATAGCCCACAGGTCACATCCGGCCACGCTCATTCATTTGCGTACTGTCCTATGGGCAGCTTTGGTGCTGTAGCGGCAGAGTAGTTGTAACAGAGACTGAATGGCCTGCAAAGCTGAAAATATTTACTATCTGGCCCTTGACAGAAAAAGCTTGTCGACTCCTGCATTAGACTATAAAGACCTTGCCTGATATTCAGACATAGGAAGCCCAAAGTGTTTGTGGACTGACGATTATTAGGTGATCACACCCAGAATCATCACTGATGGTACAGCTCTTTGCTAGGCGCATGGGGAGCAGACAGTCCTCACTCCCAGAGCTTAGTATGCCCTAAGTTTAAAAATGGAATCATAGCACAAACTATCCAGAGGCCTCTTCTGATAGGCCTCTTCTGGGAGAGCAGCCACATTTAATCAGAATGCTGCAGGAGCCAAACAAATCCAGGAAGCACAGACTCGGCCAACGTCAGCTCCCACTGTGTCCCATTCCCACCAGGACCCTCTGGTCCGTGCTCCCAGCCATGCTGTGCTGCTCAACACTCCCAAACACACTCAGGAACAGAGGGTTTGCTTTTTGAAGGGCCTTCCTGTTGTTATTTACTGTTTCACCTTCTTCCAACCCAAGAATCGTCTGTGACTGTTTCAAACATTCCTGTTTCCTACCAGAATACAAACATTCCTGAGGCCCTAGAGCTTATACAGTCTGAAACTAGGACGTGAAAAGGAATCACGGCCTTACTTGTCCATTTCCACCTCTGTCTCCCATTCCAGAAGTGGCACTCCTCGCAGGCCCACATGGATATCGTAAATGCCCTTATTGAAAAAGTCCCCCGTCCATTTGGCTACCTGAAACACAAAGCAAAGACTTGAAATAGGTCCTGTGGGGCAAACTTAGCCCTGGACCAGAAAGAGGCCGAGAAGGGATATGCTCACCATCAGTGTGACCATAATGGGGAGCCCATATGTAATCTCGTTGGTGGACTCAATCAGGATGACTGTGAGGCTGATGGTCATGCGGACAACCCCACCCAGGAAAGCTGCAGCACCAATCAGGGCAAAGGTTCCTGAATAGATGTGGCCCAATCCAATGTAGCTAGTGAAGAAGGAAACCGAGAACATGGCTTAGAATCATATTGGTACGTGATGGGGAGGCCCTTGGTTTGCACACTTGTGCACATGTACACATATGCGCACAAAGGCATGTGCATATATACATACACAGAGTACCTTTTCAGAACATTGGCAACTAAACGTCCAAAAGCAGCTCCACACAGCAGAGAAGGCACAAAAAGGCCACTTGGAACAGAAATGCCATAAGTCCAACAGGCAAGCAAGAAATAGAGGACGAAGAACAAGGCCAAAGTGATGGGGCTGAAAGTACCTGCAAGGCAAGACCCGCCCTGAGTCCCACCGCAGATGCTGGCCCAGGACCCAGGCCAGCGCAGCTCCCAGCAGGCCCTTCCAAGCCCCAGCCAGCTCCCCTGCCAACACCGGAGGCTGAGACCCTAATCTATGGTCTGAGTGGGTAGTATATAGGAAAAGTCCTGTTGTTGATCAGCATTAAGGGCAAGCCCGTCTCTGTTTACGGGGCAACGGAAGGGACACAGGGATAACAAACACCCAGTAATGGGTTGAAGAGTCGAGACTCACCATCTTGGTGGAAGAGCTGAAGGATAGCTGACTCCTGAGGATTGAAGAAGAGGGTGGCCATGTCATTGTAGGTCTCATTGGGACAAAAAAAGGTCTTGATACTTGAATTCACGTCTTCTGATGTGACCTAAGAAGCAGGAATCAAAAAGTCAGCACGAGGGCACCAGATCAGGACACTCTTGAGTCTTCCCGTAGGTTTCCAGCAAGGTAGGGCAAGCCTGGCTTAAGAGCTTTACCCATAAACAGGCAGCAAAAAACAGATCTGTGGGGTAAGGAATTTAACTTTACCCAAAGTAATCTGGTCTTTACCCCTGTTTCCTGAGAGGTTAACTCTAAACCCTTGGGACTTCCGGAGTAACTTAAGTGCTTTTGTTATCTAAGGAGCCCTGGTGGCACAGTGGTTAAGAGCTCGGCTGCTAACCAAAAGGTTAGCAGTTCGAATTCACCAGCCACTCCCTGGAAACCTTATGGGGAAGTTCTACTCTGTCCCGTAGGGTTGCTGTGAGTTGGAATTGACTTGACGGCAACAGGTTTGGGTTTCTGGTTTTTGTTATCTAAAGTCTCCAAACCACATCTGATGATTTGTGCTAATGAGTGGCCTGAAGTCAGCTGACCACAGGGAGGAGGGGCGTGATTCAATCCAGCATGTCTATGCAATAAGGCCGAATAAAGGATCTGGACAGGCAAGTTCTCAGGGCTGCCTGGTTGGTGAAAGACATCCATGCACACAAGAGGGTATCACTTTCCTTTTTGGGACATGGGAGCTCCACATTGGGAACCCTCCCGGACCTCACCCTATGCGTCCCTTTATTCGTATCCTTTTTTCCTACAATAAAACCGTATTAATAAATATAACACTTTCTGTGAGTTCTGTCATTTCAGTGAATTATCAACCCTGAGGGAGTAGTGGGAGCCAGCGGGTCAGAACTGAGGGGCACTGGGAATCTCTGTACTTACAGCTGGTATCCTGAGGGGTAGAGGGAACCCTCCAATTTGTAGCCAGCAGGTCAGCAGTGAGGGAAGCCTTGGGGACTCCTAAGCTTGTGTCTGGCGTCTGAAGCCTTAGGCCAACTTGGCAGTCTGGAGGACTGTGTCCTTTACCCTGTGAGTTCTGACAGAGTTCTCGGTGGCTGGGGCAGAGGAAGAAGTGCTGCCTGTGCAGCTGATGACAGAATTGAACAGAGAAGTGAAAAGTGTGGATTTTGATTTATGTTGATTATTATCTTCACAGCTGATACCAGAAAAAGTAGATGTTGAGATTTATGATCACAACATCCAACAGGAGTCAACTGCGATATTGTATTCTTTGCATTTTGAGAATGAAAGAATCAGGATGGGGGCCATTGTTCTTCTACACTTGTAATGAAAAAGTAATTACAGCTATGGCTCACCATGGATTAGGCTGCACTTCCTCTCCTGGTAAGTGATACTGCTGGAAGCCTGGCCTGAGAGCCCCCAGGACTAAGGGGAAGATGAGGCAGGCGAGAGACCACTAGCTGGGAGTTGACAGCTGTTTGGAGAGGAGAGCCCAGGCACTGCTTGACCTAAAGCCCCAAATGGAAAAGCCCTCCATAGTGAATTTACTGCCAGAGAAAACCAGCCTCAACACAGGGCCTGGATGACAACTCCGATCTCTGCCCCTGACGTTCTCCAGCTGAACAAAACCAAAACTGGGAGAAGAGGCCGTTATACACAAAGCAGCTCTCTTGTTCTCTCCACTATTTTGTGTGGGAAGATGAGATTCTGGTACAGCCTGGCTTATCACAGGATAAGGGTGTTTGGAGTATGACATTTCTTTCTGTTTTCTAATTGATGTTGTGCAATAGTGGAGAGGCTGTTCTTCATACCTATTGCTGTGTGTGCAAATGGGGAGCGTTATTAAAAAGATTAATTAAAGATATGGATTTTCTTCTGGATTCAATTCTATTGATGACACTGCAGGGATGCCGTTATGTGGACGTTATAGGCAATGGGTTTGTAAATCCTACCAGATGAACCTGGCTGGGCAATACAGCTGCATGAAGGCTGCCGTAGGAAACAGGACAGCGCCCCCCTACTGGCGGAACCTGCAGGGAGCAGCTGGTAAAGCAGAAACGTGTACGGAGTCCGGGTCCAGCATCATAAAGCGGAGCAGAGGGGAAGGGCTGGGAGCTGCGAGAACAGCTTAATAACCAACACACGCAGCGTCTTCCAAACTATGTCTGGAAGAACAGAAGGCTCCTGGAAAGAGCCCTGCTGTCAAATGCACTGAGCAGCACTGGCTTCTTCTTGGAAACCAGTGTATCTGCTAAGAGCCCAGGCTCTACCACCAGACAGATTTCTAACTCTGTCCCTCACTAGTGACCTTGGGTAAGGTATTTTGTGAAGCTTCAGTTTCTTCCTCTATAGAATACCTACCTTATGCTATGCAGATTTATATCATGTTATATGTAGATCAAAAGGCAGTATAGCATAGTGGTTAAGAGTCTGGACTTACAGCCAGACTGCCTTGCTCAAAACCCAGCTATGCCACTTAGCAGCTAAGTGAGCTTGGTCAAGACTGTACTTTGCCACCCCATAGGGAGCAAGGGAGAATCAAGAAAACTAAAGACACGAGGGAAAGATTAGTCCAAAGGACTAATGGACCACAACTACCACAGCCTCCACCAGACTGAGTCCAGTACAACTAGATGGTGCCCGGCTACCACCACCGACTGCTCTGACAGGGGTCAAAATAGAGGGTTCTGGAAAGAGCTGGAGAAAAATGTAGAACAAAATTCTAACTCACAAAAAAAGACCAGACTTACTGGCCTGACAGAGACTGGAGAAACCTCAAGAGTATGGCCCTCGGACACCCTTTCAGCTCAGTAATGAAGTCACTCCTGAGGTTCACCCTTCAGCCAAAGATTAGACAGGCCCATAAAACAAAATGAGACTAAAGGGGCACACCAGCCCAGGGGCAAGGACTAGAAGGCAGGAGGAGACAGGAAAGCTGGTAACAGGGAACCCAAGGTCGGGACGGGAGAGTATTGACATGTTGTGGAGTTGGTAACCAATGTCATAAAACAATATGTCTACTAACTGTTTAATGAGAAACTAGTTTGTTCTGTAACCCTGCATCTAAAGTACAATAATCTAAAAACCAAAAAAAGACTGCACTTTGCCTCAGTTTTCTCATCTCTAAAATGGGGATATTGCTACTAGCCAACATGGTTGTAGTAAGAATTAAATGAGATCATGTATGTAAAGTGCTCAGTGGGATATCTGGCACATAACAAACGTTTCATGTTGTCTAGTGGGACTATAATTATTATTCAAAACATAATTATTAATAAACTATTAAAGGCCCTAAGAAATTCTGTACTAAAGAAACTTGTGCTGCAAATAGTTAAGCACTCGGCTGCTAATCAAAAGGTTGGTGATGTGGACCCACCAGGCAGCTACACAGGAGAAAGACCCGGGGATCTGCTTCCGTAAAGATTCCAAAATCCAATTATCTTCTGCCGTCAAGTTGATTCTGACTTATAGCGACCCTACAGGACAGAGCAGAACTGCTCCACAGGGTTTCCAAGGAGTGGCTGGTGGATTTGAACTGCGAGCCTTTTGGTTAGCAGCCAAGCTCTTAACCACTGAGCCACCAGAGCTAATATTACAGCCCAGAAAACCCTATAGGACAGTTCTACTCTGTCACATGGAGTCACTATGAGTCAAAATCGACTTGACAGCACCTAACAATAATCCATTTAAACAAAAGAAACTTTATTGTTTATGAATCACATATATCAGTGTATCATAGAACACATTTTGGAAAATATTGGTCTGGTAATGATGGTCTTGGGGAATAACTAGTAATGATAAAGAGGAGTTGACACACTTTCTGTAAAGAGCCAGAGAGTAAATACTATAGATTTGTGGGTCCCTTAAGGTCTCTGTCATATATATTCTTCTTTGGTTTTTTTTCCTAAACCCTTTAAGAATGTAAAAACAATCTTTAGCTTGGGGGCCACAGTAAAACAAGCAATTGCTAACAGCCAGATTTGGCCCGTAGGTTGTAGTTTGCTGACCCCTGATCTAGCACACTCTATTCTTGGACTGTTCCCGGGACACTGAAGAGGCCCATGGGGACGCATGGACCCATAATAAAGGTTCCAAAGGGGCTCAGAAGATCCAAGTGGCTATCTGGGAGCAACAGAAGGACTATAAAAGCAAACTCAAGAGAAGACAGAAGCACTTAGAGAATACTCACCAGGCTCCACCCTGACAGGCCAGAACCACAAATCTGCCTGACCACAGTCTAGCTCTTAGAGTCACTAGGTTGGACCAAAAAACCTATAGTAGATTAAGCTCCATCAGCTACCTCACTGGCCCAGCTGGAAAATACCACATACTCCTAGGAAGGGAAAAGGAAAAATGCAAAAAGGATGCATGCTTAAAAATATATATACACTGATGATTGTTGAAGCTGGGTGATGAAAAAAAAGATGCATGTTAGTAAAGAAGATAACCTAATAAGAGCCCTAAGATGCAGAACAGTTAGGGTGGTCGGTCACCCTGCGGCAGATATCCCCTTTCTCCCGGTCTTAGAACTGACTCTGGCAATTACAAAGCGCCCTTCAGGCATGGAGAAGTGGGAGGGTTAAAACAGGCCTGGGAGAAGAAGCGGACAGACAGCAGTGGCCAGTGCTGTTTACAAAGGTGGAGGAGACAGAAGGAATCTGGTGCACATACTGTTCTGGGCAAAAAGACAACTACACATTCCTGTATCTCTTAGGAATTGATGGGCATGGAACGACGAACCCAGTGGATCTACTAGCTCTAAACAGAGGCAAGCCATACATTCCTGAATTCTTCTTCTTTGTGGGTATATGATAAAGGTAGCAGGTGCACTGGGGTTACCTGGAGCTGTAATGAGTCATTACCGATTTGACTCGAAGAAGACATCTGTCGGCATTCTCCTAGCACCATCGAGGCCATAAACACCACCACGGTGGTTACCAGAGACACCAAGAGGCTCTCTAAGACTCTAGGAAACAGAGCACAGCTGTTATTACATGAAAACAAAGACACCCTGGTCTCGGGAACTCAAAAACACAATGCTGCCTACCCTCAACCCTCATGACCCCAAAGGGCATTCACAAGCAGCCCCTATTCAGTCAACACATGCAGAATTTATCAGTGACTTGCTGTGTTCCCATAATTTGTACATAAAAATGTAGTCAGTGAAGTGGGCTGCTGCATCCACATTATCTCTCCGAGGAATGGAATGGCATTCCATGTAAGCCCTGGGGGCAAGAGAGTCTCTGGACATCAGAATGTGCCCCTAGCAGGGCCACAGTGACCCTTTGGATTTTGTTACATGTCCTAGCGCAAGTCAAGGGAGGCTGGGATTCAACCAGGAACTTAGGTCTAAATTACGCTCAGACTCACTTTTTTGGCCTGTCTGACAGAGTAGATTTATGACCCTGTTTACATTCTCAGTCTTAGACGTGAGATCAGAGCCGGGGTGGGAAGCTCGGTCTGCTCACACAGTCGTCTTCTTTGGGAGAGATGGCCCTGCTCACTCGAAGCTTAGGGAGCCCCAGCAAGCTGGGGGAGGGGACTGCACAGGTACCTGACAAACTTAGGTTTCGGATGCACGTTTCGCATACGGTACTTTGCAAGCCTCTTGTTCAGACAGTTGAATGTGGCTCCCAGGAGGCCCCCAATGACCCCCATGATGACGAAGAAACCCAAGTCCACAGCTGTCCAGAGATGACATTTTTTATCAGAGTCAGAGCACTGAGAGAAGGGGAAAGGGAGGAACAGAGAAAAAGCACAGAGCCCGTGAGAACAGGAAGGGGCAGGAAAGAAGACAGAAACAAGAGCGGTACCACCTTCTCTCTCTGAGTCAGGGAGGGAACCTGCCCGCACCGACCGCAGGGCACGCACAGGGAAGAGACCGAAGCGGAACCTGCCCCTCTGATCACTTCTCTTTGGGACTTTACTTAAGAGGGTCCTGGGAGAAAGGACAAAGCATACCTTAAACTCGCCAAAGTTCAGCAATCCAGGGAGCTGGAAGGAACCCCAACTTCCAAACTGAATTCCAGAACGAAAGAAGTTGAGGGTGAAGGTGGCAGACATGGAACAAAAGAGCTAGAGGATAGGGGACAAAAACAAGGACATTCAACAGTGACAAGTCCTACTTTTTCCCTGACACTTGCTCATAAAACATAAAGCTTTACACAGAAACCTACTGACTCTAGGTTTGGATACGTGGATCTGGTAAGTGCTGCAGTAAAGACACCTCAAGCTGAACCTCAATTTAAATCAGGCTACAAGGAGTTTTCATTCAAACAGCCAATAAATATTTATTGAGAGCCTACTGTGGACCAGACCCTGCACCAAAAAGGAAGAGCAAACACAAAGGGAAGATCGCTCCCGTCTGAGGTAGGAGACTCAAGGGCAAGTCCTGGCTCCATCACCTCCTGCCTCACGACTGGGCCAGTTTCAGGTTTAATGCTAGACTGTTCATCAAAGAGAACAGCAGTTTGATTTGGGATTACTGTTTGGGTGATGGGAAGGGCATTAATATAAAAAGCATTTTTTTAAAAGTTTTAAAAATGTGCCATTAATCCCCACGTCAAAGAGCCCTGGTGGAGCAATGGTTAAGCACTCAGCTGTTAACCAAAAGGTTGGTGGTTTGAGCCCACCCATTGGCTCAGCAGGGAAAGGCCTGGCAGTGTATTCCTGTAAAGACTACAGCCTTGGAAACCCTATGGGGCAGTTCTACTCTGTCATATAGGGTCACTATCGACTCAACAGTACACAACAAAAATAATCCTCACGTCTATAGTTCAGAGGTTATGATATCTGTTGTTGTTGTTGTTAGGTGCTGTCAAGTCAATTCTGACTCATAGCGACCCTATAAGACAGAGTAGAACTGTCCCATAGGGTTTTCTAGGCGGTAATCTTTATGAAAGCAGATCACAAGGTCTTTCTCCCACGGAATTGCTGGGTGGGTTTGAACCGCCAACCTTTTGGTTAGCAGCCGAGCACTTAACCGTTCTGCCACCAGGGCTCCTTATGGGTATCTAGAACAAAGGAGTTTCTGACAGAGCCAATCCTCCTAATCTCATCAAAGCTACTGCTAAATGTATCGAGTGAGAGATGCCCAGTTTAATTTTGGGGTTTGATGAAGTCTCAAACAAGGTTCCCAGTGAAGGCCTCCTCACCACTTTCCATGTGAGCCCTTGGTTCCAGAAGGATGAGCCCTCCTCCAGACTGAACAAGGTGCCCCCAATTGGGGCCCCAAAAGCTGCAGCAACCCCGGCAGCCGCCCCAGCTGATACAAAGTCTCGCTTGTCTCTAAGGAGAAAAGAAAGGGGTTTATTAGAGAAAAAGCCTTCTCGCCACAAAAGCCAGTTTTCTACTCGCTTATCCACACATTTTATTTCATGACCTACGAGCACTTGGGTTTGAGAAGAGGCAGCTCTCTGTGAGGCAGCCTCAGCAGCAAATACAATTCACCTATGAGCCAAATGCCCTCCCCAGGCAGGTTCCTCCAGGTGTGGTGGCTCCTCTGCCTGGGGAACGTCTCGAACATCAGCCTCCTCTGTGAACACGGGATCCAGATCATGTCTCAGCCACTATTTCAGGAGGTAGATCAGAGATTTCTGCAGTCACTACTGAACCACATTCCTTCCAGAAAACCACAGCATCAGTGAAAATGCCCAAGTGCTGGTTACACTCAGAGGGGCAGGCGCACAATGACATGTAGAATAAAGACGAGAAGGTGGACTCTAACTCTGAACCTGAGCCCCTGGCTCCAAGGGCCTTAAAAGGCTGCAGGTTGAGTAACACACACAAATCGCACAGGGCTAGAAGAGTCTACAGAGAATAGCCAATTCCAACCTAGCAAGGCAGCTGAACCAATTAAATCATTTTGGAATACAAAACACATTCCTGATAATATGCCTCTGGACATTCTTCGTCGTGTTTTCAGTCTTGGCAACACTGTCCGAGATGCTTCTAGGCCTCTTGTCATGACAAAACAGAAGTCGTGATGCCAGTTTGGTCCTTTGGCTTCTTATTTTCAGAAGAGTAACTCAAAGCCTCTTTTCTGATGTTTGGGCTTCCCATATGACCTGCCGGTATCAGCCAGGCTGAAGAAAGTATCGAGTCTGACTGACAGTAAATTAATACTTTGCTTTTTAATAAAACCCAATTCCTAACCCTTCCGTACCTGTCGCTTCGGAAATAGGGGAAGTTAAACTGGATCTTCTGTAAGGAGATGCTCTGGAACTAAAACAAGAGGAAACAAAGTCAGAGAGGGGTCTACCAGGCCCAGAGCTGCAGAAATCCACAGCATCTGGAATCCCCTCACTAGAGCACACCTGGGCAGGTGTGCTGCCAGGAGGAGGCCAGGATAGCAGCCCGGAGCAAACAAGTTACCCACCTTGGGAGCAAATTCTTTGTTCTGCCCCCAAATATCTAGGATCTTCAGAAACTGCACTTTATATGTAGTCAACAGGTCAGAAACAAAAGGGGAAAATCACGGAGCAGTGGGTTGGGGGTAACTAGAAGCTAGTGTAGGAGATAAAGGTAGTCCTTCTAGAAGACGTCGATAAGCGAAGAGGCCAAATAGTCATTTTTCAATTTGTTTAGCAAATTCTCACGCTGACACCTAATCCATGCTTGGCCTCCTTCCACCTCTCTGCTCACTTTTGGGAGACCTGGTAGTTGACGTAAAGGAATTGAGGCAGAAGCAAGAGAGATGACCAAAATGTGGGCTCTGAAAGAAAGAATCTTCTCTCCTTTGCCTCAAGGACTCACAATCACAGCAACTCCCTTTCCACAGAACATGGGAGGTATGTGTCTATAAGGAACTGGGGCTTCTCAGGCGTGCAGCCCAGGAATAACAATAGGAGCTTTGGAGTCCTGAGACAGTTCCTTAGCTTCTCTAAGCCTCAGTTTCCTCACCTGAGAATGCGGATGATGGTAACAACAAAACACAGGGGGTGGCTATAAAAAAGAAAGGAGTCATGCGCCAAGTCTAGCCCAGAGTCTGGCACACAGCATTTAACAAGTAGTAGCTATTATCATTACTGTACTACTTTACATGGAATCTGAATAGAACTGTGCCTAAAACCATCTTAGTCCATGCTCCCAGCCTCTTGAGATTTGGCAGCACTATACCAAGCCACCCTAACTGGAGGCATGTGCCAATGGCTGTGGGACACCACGTTGACTTCCATTTGAACTGACTTCCTCTATATACCATTTCAGTGCTCCAAGGAATTAGCAGGGCATTGTTAAGACTCTGCATACAAGTTGCCTGCTCTCCTGGGACACTGACCATATATGTTTCGTATCAACCCACACTGACATCAGGATTCTAAGGCCGTGGACAAGAGAGTGAGAACCTCAGCCCTTACCTGAGGGAGGCCAGCTCCCACCACCGCTCCACTGTGGATCATGGGGCCTTCCTTCCCCACAAAGAGCCCTGGAACAGGGGAAATGGGAAAAGACCACCAGTCAGCCCAGGAAGGCCTCTGGGTCAGGAGACTTCTGTCAAATAAACTTTTCTCTTGAGAATATAAAACAGACACTGTACAACTTTATAAGAGAGTGAGCCAAATTCCCACCAAATAAGCTCATTTAAATCTTGCTATAAGAGAAAATACTCTTTAAACTCCAAATCAGGGGTCGGCACACTACAGCCCATGGGCCAAGTCTGTTTTCATACATCCTAAGAGCTAAGAATAGTTTTTACATTCTTAAATGGATACATTCTAAATGGTATATACCCATTGCCGTTAAATCGATTCCGAATCATTGTGACCCTATAGGACAGAGCAGAACTGCTCCATAAGGTTTCCAAGGACTGGCTGGTGGATTCAAACTGCCGACCTTTTGGTTAGCAGCCGAGCTCTTAACCACTGTGCCACCAGGGCTCCTAAATAACATCCTTGATTTTGCCTCTTGGCCCACAAAGCCTAAAACATTTGCTATCTGGCTATTTACAGAAAAAGCTTGCTGATCCCTTCTCTAAATGCATGAAAGTTAGTTTTCTAAAAAGCCAACTCCAATAAACCAACTAGACAGTCAGTCTACTTCAAAACAGAATGGTGTGCTTGTCAAGAGATCTGTGAATAACATGTTCACAGAGTCTGTGTTTGCAAAAATAACCCAACAAAAATGTGCAGGCCTTTCCGTCTAAATCTAGTTAATTTACATATGTAATGCTTCTTCTCCTCTTATCCCTTGAATAAGCATAAAAATCAGAAAGCCTCTTCTTACCTCCAGCCACACTAAAGAGCACTCCAAAGACTTTGCAGAGCAGGGTCCGGAGACGGACAATTCCTGGCACCTTCACGCCATTCAGGTAGCATTTGATCTCAGGTATCCCCGAACCTGCTGCCACCGGCTAATGATAGGGAGAGCAGGCACACCCATAAATGCAAAATCCATCAGCAGTCTTGGCCGCCAGAGAGGGAGCGCTGATTTTTATGTTCTAGCAAACTTCAGCAGTATTAGCATCTCCTCCTGGGGTGTTTGTTCAAACACTGACTACTCTCTAGACTTTCTGGAGCCACGGAGGGTAGATGAACCCCTGAAACTACTGCCCTGAGATAATCTTTAAACCTTAAACCAAAAATATCCCCTCTGAAGTCATCTTAAAACCAAACAACAGTTCAGCTTAACTAGTAAAAAATGCTTGCCTTGAGCATTGTGCTCTTTTAAGATCTATCTACATGGGATCATATTGACAACAGCAACTCGAAAGATTAGATAGGAACCTTAGGGGGAAGTGAGTTTATGTTAATGAGGGAGGAACAACTCAGAAAAGGAGGGTGAGAATGGTTGCACAACTTGGAGAATGTAATCAATGTCACTAAACTGTACATGTAGAAACGGCTGAATTAGTGTATGTTTTGCTGTGTATATTCTCAACAATCACAACAAACTAAATAAAGTTTAGGAAAAAGAGAAAAAACACTGGCTACTGGGCCCCACCCCAGAGTTTCTGATTTGGTAGGTTTGGAGGTGGAACCCAAAGATTTGCATTTCTAATCAGTTCCAGCATCACCTGGGAGCTTTTCAACCATGGATGCTAGCACCCAACTCCCAGAGATTCTGATCTAATTGGCTGGAGCTAGGGTCAAGGCATCAGTATTTTTCTTTTTTTTAATTGTACTTTAGATGAAGATTTAAAGAACAAACTAGCTTCTCATTAAAGTTAGTACATATATTGTTTTATGACATTGGTTAACAATCCCATGACATGTCAGTACACTCCCTTCTTGACCTTGGGCTCCTTATTACCAGCTTTCCTGTGCCCTCTTGCCTTCTAGTCCTTGCTCCTGGGCTGGTGTGCCCCTTTAGTTTCGTTTTGTCCTATGGGCCTGTCTAATCTTTGGCTAAAAGGTGAACTTCCAGAGTGACTTCATTACTGAGCTAAAAGGTTGTCCAGGGGCCATCTCCGGGTTTCTCCCGTCTCTGTCAGGCCAGTAAGTCTGGTCTTTTTTGTGAGTTAGAATTTTGTTCTGTATTTTTCTCCAGCTCTGTCCAGGACTCTCTAGTGTGATCCCTGTCACAGCAGTCAGTAGTGGTAGCCAGGCACCATCTAGTTGTACTGGACTCGGTCTGGTGAAGGCCATGGTAGTTGTGGTCCATTAGTCCTTCAGACTAATCTTTCCCTTGTGTCTTTAGTTTTCTTCATTCTCCCATGCTCCTCAAGGGGTGAGACCAGTGAAGTATCTTAGATGGCCGCTCACAGGCTTTTAAGACCCCAGACACTACTCACTGAAGTAGAATGTAGAACATTTTCTTTATAAACTATGTTATGCCAATTGAGCTAGATGTTCCCTGAGACCATGGTCCCCACAGCCCTCAGACCAGTAATTCAGTCCCTCAGGGAGTCTGGATATGTCTATGGAGCTTCCAGGTCCTTGCCTTGGACAAGTTGTGCTGGCTTCCCCAGCACTGTGTACTGTCTTACCCTTCACCAAAGTTACCACTTATCTATTGTCTATTTAGTGTTTTTCCACCCCTACCCCACCCCTGCCTCATAACCATCAAAGATTGTTTCTTTTTGTATGTAAACCTTTTCATGAGTTTTTATAGTACTCGTCTCATACATTATTTGTCCTTTTATGATTGACTTATTTCACTCAGCATAATGCCCTCTAGGTTCATCCATGTTGTGAGATGCTTCACAGATTCATCATTGCTCTTTGTCATTGCATAGTTCTCCATTGTGTGCATATACCATAGTTTGTTTATCCATTCATCTGTTGATGGGCATCTCGGTTGTTCCCGTCTTTTTGCTATTGTGAACAATGCTGCAATGAACATGGATGTGCATATGTCTATTCGTGTGATGGCTCTTATTTTTCTAAGATATATTCCTAGGAGTGGGATTGCTGGATCATATGGTATTTCTATTTCTAGCTTTCTAAGGAAGCACCATATCGCTTTCCAAAATGGTTGTACCATTTTGCACTACCACCAGCAGTGCATAAGAGCTCCAATCTCCCCGTAGCCTCTTCAACATTTGTTATTTTCTGTTTTTTATGATTCGTCAGGCATCAGTATTTTTAATATTGATTTAAGGTTGAAAACCACCGCCCTAATCTAAATTTTCCTTCCTACCTAATCTCACCAGAGGCTGAAAATTTTACTTTCAGAAACATCTCTTAAGTGAATAGGAGGCTACCTTCTACAGGAGTCTATATTCTAAATCTAATTCAGCTTCCTGGCCTTCTGGAAATGGAGAAAACAGTGCAGGAATCTGAAACCTCATAAGCAAACAAAGCACCTCACCTCAATTAGGACAAGAAGGCTCCCCAAGAAGACAAACGTCAGGTTAAAACCCAAGAGTTCAAGGAGGGACAGGGCGAGGCAACCTTTCTTGCTGCATTCTTCCACTGCTGCAGAGGCCGGGTTAAGAAAAACATGTTTACCAACAGAGGGTGCTCCTGCAGTCACTTGAAATGGTGTAGCCTCTCCTCTTCTAGAACATGTTGGCTACTTCCCACACACCTTTCTGTCCTCCATATACATACATTTTAGAAATTGTCTGAGATATCTTCTACATTAGGAACCATCTTTAAATTATGAAATACTTGAAACATTACAAAAAGAGATAAATATCCATATCCCTACAACTCTAGGTTTAACAAATCTCAACATTCTGCCATATTTGTTGCAATTAAAAAAATAAAACAGACATTAGATACTACAGGAAAACAAACAAAAAACCCTTTGTTTCCCTTCCTCCCTTTCCTGAAACTACTAACCTGAAATTATTGTGTCCTTCCCTGCATATTTTCACATGTATCCATATTGTTCTATGTTTTTATAATCAGAATAAATGGTACTGTACCTTACATACACTCTACAACCTTTTTCTCTCTCAACATAAAGGTTTTCAGAATCAGTCATGTTGATACATCAGCTCTGGTTCATTCACTTAAACTTCTGTATAGAATTAGACTGTGTGAACATACTACAATTTTTCCAATTTCCCAGATGGTTTGAGTCTAACTTTTTGCCAGTGAACATCTCTGTACATGTCTAGGGTACATGCACAGAAGAGGAATTCGTGAGTCACAGGAACACACACCTTCCTACCGGTTTTTCACTGCTCTTCCCGGATGAATAGTGAGGTGAGCGCTTTTCCAGGGGGTTACTGGCCATTCAGTTTTCCTCTTCTGAGAATTGCATGTTCACATCCTCTGCTCATTCTTCTACTGGGCAGTTTGTTTTTTTTCCTTATTGAATTGCAGGAGTTCTTTCTATACTCTGGATACTAATTACTGGTCTCTCGTACGCACAGCAAATAATAAGTCCAGGTTACGGACTTATTCTGCACTTTGCATAGAGTGTTTTATTGTTGTTGTTGTCGTTTAGGATTTTTTTGTTTTGTTTTTATAAACAGAACATTTACTTTGATGTGGTCAAGTTTATCAAGTTTTTTCTTTGTAGTTTTGCCGTGTGGGGCTTTAAGAAGTTATTCCATACTCTTGTCATCATACCCCAAAATCCACTGCCGTCAAGTCGACTCCGACTTCACAGCAACCCTGTAGGACAGAGTAGAACCGCCCCACAGGGTTTCCAAGGCTGCAGTCTTTATGGAAGCAGACTGCCACATCTTTCTCCTGCAGAGCAGCTGGTGGGTTCGAACTACAGCCTTTTGGCCGGCAGCTGAGTGCTTTAACCACTGCGCTACCAGGGCTCCGCTGTCATCATACAATCTCTTTAAAATTTTGTTTTGCCCATTTACATCTTCAGTCCATCTGGAATTTATCTTTATTTATAGTACGAAGTAAGAATCTACTTTTATATGTTTCCATATGGGTGAACAAACGTCCTGGCATCTTTTACTGAATAATCCGTCGCTTCCTCACTGATTTATAACACCATCGCTGTCTTTTGCCAAATGTCTATGTCTGTGTGGGCCAGCCTCTGCTTCTCTATTTCTCCACTGGTATAACTAGGTATTCCTGTTTCAGGTACTAGATCTTAAATTTTCTAAGTCCTGACATCCAGTAAGGCAAGTCCCCCTGCTTGTTCAAAATTGTACTTTTGGCCCTTTACTCCTCCATACAAATTTTGAAAGAGAATTTTCAAGTTCTATGCTAAATCTATTGGGATTATTATTATTATTTTTTTATTGGAACTACATTGAATTTATAGGCTGATTGGGAAGAACAGGCATCTTTATGGTATTTGTGTCTTGCTAACCATGAACATGAGCGTATCTCTCTATTTATTAAGGTCTTCCTTCTGTATCTCCCACTGATAATTAAAAACCATAAAGCTGAATGGCTAACAAAATAACCCTTCAAAGGTCACGTTTACTGTGAAAACCATTTCCAGACAACAAAGTGATCTTGACCACCAGTGAGTTCAGGAACACCAGTAACCAGGAAAAGGATACATGTTTGTACCACTCCAAACTTGAGCTGGGTGAAGAGTCGCACAAAAAAATCCACAAAGAGACCCACCTGTGAAGAATAAGAGGTCCATCAGACAGGCTCACTCCTGGGGGCATGACAGGCACTTCTCCTGAAAGGATCTAATGTCCCCACTGTAGTTATGGTGGCTGGCCAAGGGCACCGTGTTACCAACCAGCAATGCATGAGTAAACTTTCTGTTAGTCATTCTGGCTTTGGAGGCACTCCCTGTTCCCACCTGGTCCCACCACCCTCCAAAGAAAACGGGATGGGAGTACAGTTAAGGAGAGAGTGAAGCAAGTAAGACAAAGACGGAAAATGATGCAGAACAAGATGTGAGATCAAGGAAGACTGTCCCATAATCAAAGAGGACTAATACTGTGTTGTGTGAGTAACTGCGAAACTCTTTCTGAAGGCAGTTTTGAAAAGAAAATTCCAAAAATGTTGTCAGTGATTCTCAGTTGGATAAGCATATAAAATAAAAACCAAACCTGTTGCCGCTGAGCCAATTTTGACTCAAAGTAACCCTACAGGACAGAGTAGAACTGCTCTATAGGGTTTTCAAGGCTGTAAATCTTTATGGAAACAAACTGCCACATTTGTCTCCCACAGAGTGGCTCCTGGGTTCGAACTGCTGACCTTTCGGTTAGCAGCCGAGTGCTTAACCACTGCACCACCAGGGCTCCTGGATATGCATATAGATCAGGAAATTACTTTCAAAGACAACATTCATTTAGGGGTACATGGTTTTCACATGTTTGCTATTACTGTAAGTCCTACTTTGATTTACACTGGCTAAGAAAAAACTACCGGTGTCCCACTAGTCTACTCTCCTAAGTCCATGCTCAGGGTTTCAAGCAGAACTGGAAAGACTTCTGACATCGTGGACCTAGGATCAAAGGCTTCATGCCTTTACCTCTGACGTTCTCTCAAGCCAATGCCTAGAGGCTTTTTAACATTGAAGCAGTAAGTGATGACAGATCAGAGGATAAGAGAGTCGGTAGCAAGTGGAGCTGGTCGCTACATTATGAAGGCAGGTCTGCCTTTGTATCACGAGCGTGCAAAGTAAAGTCGCTAGTATTGATAAACGGCAGCTCAAAGGGGCTTGATACGAAAGGAGCAGAACGAGTGACAACTACATGGCTAACGACTATGCTTATTATAGTAAAGTTGCAACCAGAAACATATATAGCAAAATAGACACCCTGAGATTTCAAAAAAAAACAATTAAATCAGCTCAAGTTCCCTCCACAATGGTATCCACCAGAACGCTACCGAAGAAGCCTTCTGAATGCCATTAGTCTTACCTAGTAAGATATTCCTTTACCTCTGGATCTACTACAGTAAAAATTTGACAAGTGCTGTGAAAAATAAAAATTGTGGTTGGCCCTTGTGGCTATATTATGTTAAATACATGTTTATATTTTACAGGTATATCACGTAGAGTGAACTATGGGACTTTTGGTCGATTCTAGAGAAAGGTGATATATGGAAATATGTAAGAATTTACGTAACCCTTTATTCTAACAATGGACTCCCTGGGTGATGTAAACACTTAATGCGCTTGGCTGCTAACTGAAAGGTTGGTGACTTGAGTCCACCCACAGGTATGTCACAAGAAAGTCTTGGTGATCTACTTCTGAAAAAATTGGTCACTGAAAACCCTACAGAGCACAGTTCTACTTTGACACACATGGGGCCACCATGAGTCAGAGCTGACTCGATGGCAATTGGCTGATTATTCTAACATTGTATTGCTGGAAAATCTGATTTGACATGCCTCACTGTGACAGCCTGCTAAGTTCTCCAGCTTCTCTTTCTCAGGATGAACAATGTTAAATCAGCAATTATGGTTCCAGAACTTTTTCGACTACAATTTTTGGCAATGTTCACACACTTCTTCTACCTGTGATTCATCTGTGAACTTACTGAGGTTACTGTTCGTTCAGGCATACTCTTCCACCCCCACTGCCAGCTCTACCTTCTAGACAAAATCAGCAATGGGCAGGGAGGAAGCCCAGGACAGCATAGTAAATTTAGTGAGACCCATGGTGTCCTGTCCTGTTTACTGGCACATTATGCTACCAGAAAGGGTATGCTGTTCAAAATTTTGTTCCCACTACTTTGCTTTTTCCCGATGGAGTGACCTCAACATCCACTACGTACTTTTATCTACTCGGTAGGAATATAATCACATATTGTAGGAGGTAAGTCTGGACCAAACCTTTGAGTACTTAAAGAGCACCAAAGCTCTATGGCTCACTTTCATTTCACAGGGCAAAAGCAACAGAAGTATGAAAAACTGTGTCAGCATCACTAATATAAAAAAAGGGGTTTTGGGGAGAAAGATAGTCTGTTATAATGACAAATGGCTTATTTGCCAGGACAGGGCTTGACCTTTTGACTCCGCTCCCACCCCTCTGGCCCACCACCTCACCATGCCCCATCTGCTCACCAGCCCAGTGCAGACTCCAATGGCAAACACCACCATCCACTTCACTGCCTCATACCTTCGACCTTTCTGTTCACAGAGGAAAAGAATGATTCAGTCTGGCAGGGTTCCAGTGGCAGAGAGGAAGGAATACATCTTGACCAACTAGTTTTAGATTAAATTCCACACGGTCAGCAAGCATGGTGAAGATAAAGTACGGATCATGGGCTCCTTACAACACAAGAATGATGAACTCTAAGGGGCTGGACCAGGTTCACTGACAGGTGGTACTCTGGTTGGCAGGATGAAGGGCTAGGGAATAAATGCTGATATCTCTTAAAAGGTGTTAAAAGGCCAAGGGTAAGGATTTTTACTAGAGTATTTAGAACAGAAAAAGAGTTTGTTCAGTCCTGACAGATCAAGAACTATGGGACTCACCTTATTATCCATGCTCTCCAAAACTTCCAGGTAAGGGTCATTGATACAGCGATCATAATCCAAGCTCTGAAACAGGGACATGCAAGTTAAAAAAAAAAAAAAAATCACAGCCAGGTAGGAAGAATTACCTGGAAAGGGACAAAACACTAGGTTCCTGCTACCTGACGTATGGATGGGCACCGGCCAGGAGGCGCTAGTTTGAAATGCAGAATCCCAGGCCCCTCTGGCCCTACAGCAGTAGAACCTGCACTTTAACAAGATCCCCAAATGACTCATGTGTACATTCAAGTCTGAGAAGCACTGCGTTAGTACTTCATGCTTTAGAAAAAAGTTCTAAATTAGCAAGTTTTTAACTTGCTGTTTCCGAAAAACATTTAAAGACGTTTGGCTATCACCAGCCTTATCCAAATTACTCCACTGGATGTGAACAAAAGCTTCAATTAATCAGAACCAAATTCATTTGAAAAGTAAATTAATTATAATTATCTTGTATAGTTAGCTTCTATGAACAGGAGGTCAGTCACAGGACAAACTGATATGGAGGCTACTTTAAAAAGCAACTTCCAGTTTATATCAGCAAGAAGTACAGACTCAGTCCAGTTCCTGTCACTTCTACATCTAAAGCAGTGTCCTTCAGCCATGCTTCACAGAAGCACATTCTGCAAACTATCTGCGCATGTGCCATAGACATTTAGAGGAACAGTTCAAAATTTTATTTCTATGTCTTGTGTGAGAAGCAGCGTCCGGCAAAAAAGGAAAATGGTCTGCCATGATGCTCTTTCCCATAACCTGCTCTTACCTACACATCAGCTAATGAATAAGCTGGACACTGCCTGGTAGACACACTCTCAGGCAAGAGCTTGAAATCAGGCCAGGTGTGACATGTGATAACTGCTTCCATTGCTATGACTATCCAGAGTAAGTCAAAACCCCTCTTAAAAAAGAGTCCTGGAGTATCAACAGGGAAACTGAATGAACAATTGTCATACATCCAAAAATAGAATATCATGTATCAATAAAATAATTACGGCAGATCTATGGACAGATGTGGAAAATGTCCAAAAATAATAAAGTAAAAAACCAAGATGCAGAATAAAATATATAATACAATCCCATTGTGATCAAACAAAACTAGTATCATGTAGGGGCACTAATAGTGCAGCGGTTAAGAGCTTGGTTGCTAACTAAAAGGTTGGCAGTTCGAATCTACCAGTCGCTCCTTGGAAACCATATGGAGCATTTCTACTCTGTCCTATAGGGTCGCTATGAGTTGGAATCAACACGACGGCAATGGGTTTTAGTGTCATGTATGTGTCAGCACCCATAAGGCACAAACATCTGGGAAAGCTGTTGACCATGATCATCTCTGAGGTGGTGTTTTTTAGGAGGTGTGCACATCTGTGTACTGTTTGAAATTTTCACAGCAGACATTGTATACTTATGTATTTAAAAAAATTATCTTCTTTTTTACTGATTACAAAACAAAAAACCACAGTGAGTAAGAAATACTTCTGCTGGGAAACTAGACTCATCTATATGAGTGATTAAACTGATATATAAGTTTCTAAATCAACAAAGTGACATCACATTCTAGAAAAAAAACAGAGGAGTACAATGCTGAAAAATATGAATATCATTTATACCAAATATATTTAAAAATGACTGGTCAATTAGTCATCTGCTTGATGAGTTTTGTCTATTAATGCTATGTGCGGTGTGATGAATTACTTAGTATGGCCTTTCTTGCCTTGGTCTTGTAACTCCACCCAGGTGACTGGGTGAGGCTGTGCAAATAAGATAATTGGTCCACCAAGGGGATTGGTCGGTTTTGCCTTAAAAGAAAGCCAATTCCAGAGTAGAGAGAACAGCCCACTGCCACCAAGCCAGGAAAGACTGGCAGGAGAGACGGCAGGAGATGGGGCAGTGGCTTCCTGCCTCATGGAGCGAGAAAGCTCAGTGCCTTTGGGCAGAGACTGAGGGTCAGGGAGAAGCCTATACCTGACTCATGAATTTAAGACTTGCCAGTCTCCTCAACCACATGAGCCATTTCCTTTATATGGTTCGTGAGTTCTGTGAGATGTTGCAGGGAATTAGGGAACCCAAAGACAGGAGGGGGAGTTCTGAGCGGGGAGGGAGTAGTTGATGTTAGAGATGATAGACTAGTACAGTGGTTTGGAAAAGTTGGACATTTGGGACATCTTTAATCTCTGCCTCATAGGAACCAGCTTTGTGCTGATCCTTATAAAAGAAAGTAGTCATTTACTCTGTCTCCATTAATACTTAAAAGGTATTTAGAGGTCCAGGACAGGCAAATCTATGGAGACAGAAAGTAGATCAGTGGTTGCCTATGGCTTGAGAGGGGATGCGAATGACTGCTAATGGGTATGAGGATTCTTCTGGAGTGATGAAAATGTTCTAAAATTGATTCTGGTGATGGTCACACAACCTTGTGAATATACTAAAAACCATTAAATTGCATACTTTAAATGGGTGAATTGTATGTTGTTAGGTGTCGTGGAGTTGATTTTTAATTCATAGCGACCTCATGTGACAGAGTAGAACTGCCCCATAGGGTTTTCTACGCTGTAATCTGTACAGGAGCAGATCATGAGGTCTTTCTTCCACAGAGCTACTAGGTAGGTTCGAACTGCCAATCTTCTGGTTAGTAGCCAAATGCTTAACCACTGCGCCACCTGGGCTCCTTCGGTGAATTGTATAGTATGTGAAAAAAAGTTGGAGGGATAAGAAATAACTGCAACATCAGAACATCGATCTTTTTTTTTTCTTCTTAAATAAATTGAGTTTGACACTATAAATATATACCAATGGAATATATGATCTGTTATTAAAATCAGATACTGTTATTTCTCCCTCGCTGTGACTAACTAAATTACCTCCCTTTATTTCTGCTGTATATGTTCTTCTCTGGTTTGGCGGACTAACAACTTTTTTTAAAAATAAAATGTTTATAAGGTTGTCCTGCAGGGCTGCTGCATGCAGTTACAAGATGTCTGGCCATGGGGGCAAGGAGGGTGGAAATGCAGCCCAAACTCAACCTGAAAGGGGCACCTTGATCCTCACAAAAAAGCACCTTCAACTGGCCTTGAGCTGGAGGTGTTGCTGTGGCCCAAAGAGGGAAGAGATCTTTTATTCCAATTCTGCTCCTGTAGGGGTGCCTTTTTTCTAACTCAAAAGAGCAGTACAGGTTCTGTGATCTGCATGAAATATTACTGTTTGGTGTCTCACCATCCTACAATTAGAAAATAACTACTACTCAAACCATATAGAAATCAAAAAACATACTATCAGATAAAGTGCTTTTTGATTCATTAAAATCAGTCCCAATAAAATAAACTATAAAAAAAAAAAAGAAAAAAAAAATTGGCAAAATCTAGGCTGCAGAAAATTCCAGAGTCCCAACATGTCATCAGGAGCCCTTGTGGCACAGTGGTTACATGCTCAGCTGCTAACAAGTTTGGTGGTTTGAACCCACCGGCCGCTCCACTGGAGAAAGATGTGGCAGTCTGCTTCCATAAAGATTTACAGCCTTGGGAACCCTATGGGACAGTTCTACTCTGTCCTATAGAATCGCTATGAGTTGGAATTTGACTTGACGGCAATGCATTTGGTTTTTTGGTTTTAATATGTCATTATATAAATCATAAAAAAAATTATTATATAATATTATAATTATAATATTATAATATTATATAAATTAAAAAAAAAAAGATGAAAGAGAGAACCTATAGATTAAAAAAGATTTAAAAGACATATCAAACAACCACAATGTGAAGACCTTCTTTGGAATCTGATTCAAACAAACAAACTAAAAACAATACCTATGATAAATTAAACAACCGGAAAATTGGAACACTGGGTATTCAATGCTATCAAGGAATTGTTAATTTTCTTTTTAGGTATGATAATGGTATTGTTTTATGTTTTTTTTTTTTTTTAAAAAAAGTCCTTATCCTTTAGAGATACACACTGAATTATTTATGTGGGAAATGATGTGTCGTATAGAATTTCCTTCAAAATAATATGGAAAGAAGAAAGTGGATGGGGCATAGATGAAACAAGACCGGGCATGAGTTGAACAGCTGCTGAAGTTGGATGATAAGTACAGGGGACTTTGACATACTATTTTACTTTTGCATATGTTTGAAATTCTCCATAATACAAATTACAAAAAAAAAAGTGTCCCCATGCTACACTACAAATCCTAATGTTAACTGTCATTGAGTCAGCTCCAACTCAAGGCAACCTAACGTATAACAGAACAAAATGTTGCCCAGTCCTGTGGCATCTTCACGATCATTAGTATTTTTGAGTCCACAAATCCTAATAGTTACACTGAATTCTACAGCAAAAGTAAGATGAAAAGTTAAAAAGAAAATTAGTCTGGATACATTATTGCCTAGTATGCAGGATTTTTAAAGTCTACATGATATTTAAAAAAAAAAAAAAAGCATTAAACGTATACATGACTAATTTTACTTCTTGGAATTAATCCTAAGGAAGCAATGAAGAACAAGCAAGGATGCTCACTGCTATACAGTTTACCATACAGAAAAGTGGGAAGCAACTGAAAATGGACTAAATAAATCACGTGTCATGGATTGAATTGTGTCCCCCAAAAAATGTGTGTATCAATTTGGCTAGGCCATAATTCCCAGTATTGTGTGATTGTCTTCCATTTTGTGATTGTAATTTTATGTTAAAGAGGATTAGTGGGATTGTATAACACCCTTACTAAGGTCACATCCCTGATCCAATGTAAAGGCAGTTTCCCTAGGGTGTGGCCTGCACTGCCTTTTATCTTACAAAAGAGAAAATGAAAGGGAAGTAAGCAGAGAATTGGGGACTTCATTCCACCAAGAAAGCGACACCGGGAGCAGAGTGCATCCTTTCGATCTGAGGTTTCTGCGCCGAGATGCTCCCAGACCAAGGGAAGACTGATGACAAGGATCTTCCTCCAGAACTGACAGAGAAAGCCTTCTCCTGGAGCTGACGCCCTGAATTTGGACTTGTAACCTACTAGACTGTGAGAGAATAAATTTCTCTTTGTTGAAGCCATCCACTTGTGATATTTCTGTTGTAGCAGTACTAGATAACTAAGACATCATGGTATAATAAAATTATGCACCTATTTAAAAAGATATTGTAGAAAAGTATCTTGTGATACAAAAATATTATCAAGCGGTAGGGCAAAAACAGGTTAAAATAATATACTTAGTAAAATCTCACTTTCATCACTTAAAAAAGTGAAAAAGCACGTATGTAAGCATGGAAAAGGACTTAGAAAGACATTTAGTAAGGTTTTAATAGTAGCATCTTTTAACGAATGAATTATAAATTTTTCACTAGCTTCTTTTTGTAAATAGTTTATAAAAATTCTCTGCAATAACCGTGACTTGCTTTTCTCATTTCAGAAATCACAGAAAAAAAATCATCATGAGTTGCTTTAATAATAAAAAGTAATGCAATGTCAAGCTTTACCTTAGCAGCATTGGCCTTATTAAAAACGTACACACTCTAATAGAGTCCCATACTTGAAACTGGGAACTACAAACAAGGACATTTCAGAGAGAAGTTGCTAGGACAGGAAACAATCATCTGAAAACTAAGTTCTCTCAGAAGAGGCAAGGCTTCCTGACCCCACACCTGTTATGAGCACACACTGTGGGGTTGCTTTGACTCTGGGTCTCTGCAAGTCATAAAACCCAAACAGTTTAATGGCAAATACATACTCCATCCAGGCTAAGGTACTATAGATCCATGAAAGCATAAAACTACTCAAAGCTTGTTTTGGGGTTTCTGCCCACTGATAGGTTACCTCTTACCCACTCACTCCCTGGAATATCGGGTCATCAAAGAGCATCTCTGGTTGGAATCCTAATGCTTTGGTCTGAAGCAACCAGGTCACTCCTTACTTTAGTTACCCAAGAAAGCATCTAAGAATCTCACCTCATAGTCTTTTCTTGGAAGGATCTCATCCTCCTCCTCCTGTGTTTCTCCAAGGATGGTCTAGAAAAACATACCCACAGAGGGGAGACCCTTTTAATGATTAAAAGTGGAAAGAGGCAGAAGTATGTACAGAAACCAGTTGCTACATTCTAAATCATCGGATGCCACTAACATGAAATGGGAACAAGACCTCAAAAAAACCAAACAAAAAAAAACTTTTGGGGTGGACAGTGATGTGGATAAGAATTGACAGCCATTCAGCTGAGTTCTTTATTTCTACTGATACATTCTCCAAATAAGCACTCTAGTCTTCAGGACACTTCAAAGATGTCCAATACCAGCTTAAGGAAAAAAAAAAAAAAAAATCAGGTTCCAACCTAACAATGTGCCGAATCTGAAATCAGCAGGGAGCTGTCAACACTGGGGACACAACTCAAGTTTTCCCAGTGTGCCTTGCAGAGGGGAAGCTGGATTGTCAGTGACCCAGAAAGGGTGAGGTATAGAGTGAGCTCTAGAGGGAGAAACTAAACCAGCTGCATAAGCACAAAGTCCTGTGCAGAGGCTTATTCTAAAAACGCTTGTTTCATTCAAAACTCCTTTCAAATAGAAATAAAAGAAAATAAGGATGGGATTAACTGGAGTTGACCTGGGATATCTCCCTTAGATTCCAGGGAGGGGTTATGAGAAAAGACTCCACACTTGGGCACCAGCATGTGAAGCGAAGCAGATGCTTCGAGAGCCTAGGCTGCTGTCCCCAAGCCCCACCCGCTGCCACCTGCGGGCCTAGCTCGGCCCGGCCCCACCCCCGGCAACGCCTCCCGCCGTCCCTTAGCAACCGCCCCCTCCCCAACCCTGCCCCGCCCGTTTCGTACCAGCTCCTCGGGAGTGCGGGTCTCACGCTCACCGCAGCAGCAACACCACCTGCAGCAGCAGCACAGAGACCCCCTGCACCCCGCCATCTTCCTCCTTTACTGCCACGCCGGACCCCTTCGCCACCCCCCTCTCCCACCCAGATTCACGCCTCACGTGACCGGCCCTCGGGAGGGTCACGTGGCCCTCTCGAGCTTGGGGACGAAGACAGGGAGTGGCTGCAAACGGGTGGGGCGAGGGCCCGCGTCACATGACGGTGGAGGGACGGCTTCCAACCAGCCCACTGGGCGCGGCCATGTTGGAGGCGGAGCCTCCGGTCGCCTGCACCAGTGGTTTTCCCCCTCCCGCCCCGCCTTCCTTAGCCATCTGATACCTGCACCAAGCCATCTGATACCTGCACCAAGCCACCCCGCGCGTCCCGCCTTCTTCACAGGAACCCCAGTAGTGCGTACACTGCTGCTGCGGCGGGCGCGCCCTCCGAGTCATATTCGACGGGAGGGTGAGTGACGGTGGGGCCGGGGGTCGTTGGGGAGGAAAACCCACCGGAGCCGGGGAACACGCACCCTGGGGCGAAGAGCTGCTTATGGGCGGAGAGCGACGGAGGTCCGCCCCCCACCCCCAACGTGGTGGAGGGGCTTTCGCCTCCTCGGCGCACTGCCTACATGGGACTGTTGGAACCCCCAGCGGCTGCATTCATCGGGGCGCCCCCATACCTGACGCGAAGAATCACTTTCGGCCCCCGGCCTGGGTGGCGGGACTCCGGGACTGAGGGTGATCCCAGCCCTGCGGGTGACCCAGTGACCCAGTGACTCCTTCCCGGCCGACGGGCAATCCGGGTGCCGGAGGAGGCTTCTGGCTCCAGCCTCGTAAATCTGCCTCCCCGCCAAGCACATGGAGGGGTAGCACACAGGGTGGGTCGCTGACACTGTTTCCGGTGCCCGGAGCGTCCAGCTGTGCACAGGTACCTACCGTGGCCCTTCTGGGAGTGGTGGGCTTGGTAGCCCCTGCCTTGCTGATGCTTGGCACAAAGTGCTCAGTAAATGGCAGAGTAATTTTGAGAATGGAATGGCAGGGCCTGGCTCATCGTCAATGCTCAGTAAGTGTTGGCTGTTATTCCCATATGTGCCAGCAACTAACAATGACAACAACAGGCAACTGGGATACCACAGGAAGGAGATCCGGCCCTGGTCCCAGGGAACTGGAGGGAGGAAGGGGAGTCAAAACTGTTAGCCAGCCATTACAACCCAGGGTGATATGGGATCCCAGCTTCAAATGGTTGAGAGAATGAATAGTAAATGGCATGTGCCTGGCGTATACTAGGAATGCAATAAATCTTCATTAAACAAATGAAACAGCTGATAGTTTGTAGTGGTCCAGCCTTCTCCCTGTCTTGGTTTTATTCCAGCAAACTATTAATGAGGTGCTCCATTGGATGTGGAGGGAGGCCGGCCAAGCTCCTTTTACCACTGCTGTCTTTCTCACTCCTGACCACCAGCCTCACTGGAGTTTTAGGTCAGAATCAAAATGGGCATTCCCTAGGTGGAGAAAGTGTTGTACGCCTGTGTATATTACATGCACTTGTGGGTATTTCAGGAGTGGAGCAGTGGATTTCATCAGATTCTCAAAACAAACAAACAAAAAAAACCCCATCGATTTGGACTCATAGGACAGAGTAGAACTGCCCCATAGAGTTTCCAAGGGGTGCCTGGTGGATTTGAACTACTGACCATTTGGTTAGAAGCCGTAGCACTTAACCACTCGAAAGGAACCCCAGAATGGTTAAGGATACTGCCTTATCAGTGGCTGTTCCCTGAAACAAATGAACTTGGCCTGGTCGTTCCTTTGTTGCCCCACATTACCACACTGAATTTTCACTACTCTGTGTTTGTGTATTGTTATGCAAGAGTAGTGCTGTGTTTTGATTACGCATATTTCTTGTTTTCCCAACTGGCACTACGCCGTCTGCTGGCCTGCCCATGGTTGCCGTGGTTCAGAGCTTTGTACACGGTGGGTGTGGGGCCGTTATAATTACTCTGATTGACTTCAGGGTGTGTGGAAGGAGAACAGCCTGGAAGGCAGGCACAGACGGAACAACCTTTGTTCTGAACTGGACCTAAATTGACGCCCTTGCTGAACTTGGGTCTGGCTGCTATTGGAACACACTGTAGAATTCTAACCCATGATCTGGTCTTTGTGCAGTAGCATGAGCTCAGGAATCACCAGGCTGCATGGTCAAGCCCTCGACCTTTTCCATCCCACACACAAACTGCTCCAGGCAGGGCCAGGCCCAGCTAGTCCTTCTTTGGAGAGCGACCCAATGACCCTGAACCTCTGTTGGCCCCATCTCCACCAGCCCTGTTCCAAGTAACGGGAGGTGTTCCAGGCAGGGCCAGGCCTAGCTAGCCCTTCATTGGAGAGTGATCCAGTGACTCTGAACCTGTTGGCCTCACCTCTATCAGCCCTGCAGTCTCTGGCCTGCCTCCCCTCCTCCTACCCACCCCTCCTCCTTCAGTCAGCCTTCTGCTGGAGCCTCAGCCCGCCCTCCTGCCTGGAAGCCTCGCCTCCGCCCTCTTCCTTTGTCACAGCTCCTCCCAGTCAGACAGACCCGCTAAGGAAGGTTCCTCTCTCCCCTCCCCACCCACTCTGGGTCTAAGCTGGCAGACATGGACCATCTAAAAGCCAGGGCCCTCCCAACTAGGCGCTGCTGCCCCTCCCTAGGAATACAGGCCTGGGAGGGCGGCAGCGGGAGGTTCTCTGTGCCACCCTCCATCAGGTAGCTGTCACCAAGGCCCCGTGGGCTGAAGGAGCATGTTTCTGTGCCGGGTGGGGGCTGTCTTGCATGGAGCCAGGCAGCAGCCGAGGGTAAAGCTTTGAGTGAGACAGTCGGAGCTGAGGAGCACGGAGCCCCTGGGTGGGGGCTGTATCAGCCTTCCTCTCACCAACCTTCTTCCTGTGTGGAAATGCAGCGTCTCTCGCTGGAACCTGCCACTCAGGTGCCTAAGTGTGCCGGGGCCTTGGCTGCCTGGCCTCTGACGCCCCTGCCCCCGCCCCACCCCGTGCAGCAGGAACCTGGCCATGGTGAACGAAGCCCGAGGGGATGGCGGCCCCAGCCCCAGCTCTGACGGCGGCAGCAGCAGCGGCAGTGAGAGTTCCAAGGACAGTTCGAGATGTTCCACGCCAGGCCTGGACCCAGAGAGGCATGACAGGCTCTGGGAGAAGATGAGGCGGAGGATGGAATCTGGAGACAAGTGGTTCTCCCTGGAATTCTTCCCTCCCCGGACTACTGAGGGTGCTGTCAATCTCATCTCAAGGTGAGTTGATGGAAAGTTGAAGAGTCACGCCAGGTGGGGGTTGGTGAGCTGTCAGCCCCCTCGGCAGCACTGCACCTTGACCTGGCAGAAAAAGGCAGCCAGAGGGGGCAGAAAAGAGTGAATGCAGAACAAGACATTTGACCTGCAGCTTCTCAAGTGTCCTTTACAGCGTCAGGGATTTTCAGACACACTCTTCTGAAAATCTAGTGGTTAAAACTGCTTATTCACTTAAACTACATTCTTTGGAGGAGGTTGGGGCTGGAGCATGAGTACAGTTTGGGAAATCACAAAGCAGCTACTTGGAGAATGTTTGCAGCGAGTTAGGGATTTGGATTAGGCCCCTTGAACTTGAGAAATGCCAGCTGGATGACGTTAGCACAGTCCGCACTGCAGTTTTTCTCAGCTGCATTTTACGATTTGCACTTCTCGTGTTTCCCAGGGTTTTGAGTTTTAAAGGCACAAGGACGTTTATAAATGCCATGTTGTGGCAGTAACACATGTGCACGTGTGTCCATGGCTTTTGAGTCTAGCTCAGGGACCGTGGCCTTGGTCCACACACTGTCCGTTGTTGCCCTGGGCCAGAGAAGCAGCATTGAAAGAGACTTGGGTCTGCGGCCCTCTTCTTTCCAGTTCCTGGAATGAAGCCCTTCTTCCCACTCAGAGATTCTTCAGCCCTTGACCATTGAAATGTCTTAACTCAGTCGTCTAAAGTGCTGCTCTCACACCAATGGTGGCATTGTTGTCATATGCTATTTCCATAATAACAGTAATCATCCTCATAATAGCAGCTCACACTTATTGGTGCTGGCTATGTACAAGGCACTGTTCTAAGTGCTGTGGTGTCATCTATCCCACTGTTCTCAGTGTTACTGTGAAGTTGTTGTTGTTAGTTGCTGTAGAGTCCATTCCGACTCACAGCAGCCTCACATGTGCAGCGTGTGCTCCATAGGATTTTCAAGGCTGTGACCTTTCAGAAGCAGATCACGAGGCCTTTCTTCCAAGGCACCTCTGGGTGGGTTTGAACTGCCAACCTTTCAGCTAGTAGGCGAGTGCTTAACTGTTCATGCCACCCAGGGACTTCTAGGAACTGTTATCTGCTACATTTTATTGATGAGGACACGCAGGCTCAGAGAGGTTAAGAATTCACCCAAGATCACACAGCTCAAAAGTAGCAAAGCCAGGACAGGTCTGACTCCAATATGCATGTTACGCATCTCCAGCTCCCAGATGGTGGTGAAGGGTGGTGCTTCCCCAGGAGCCCCTCTTTAGAAAAACGTTCCCTACAGGTTTGACCGGATGGGGGCCGGTGGCCCCCTCTTCATCGATGTGACCTGGCACCCAGCCGGGGACCCAGGCTCTGACAAGGAGACCTCCTCCATGATGATCGCCAGCACCGCTGTGAACTACTGTGGCCTGGAAACCATCTTGCACATGACCTGCTGCCATCAGAGCCGGGAGGAGATCACAGGCCACCTGCACAAAGCCAAGCGGCTGGGACTGAAGAACATCTTGGCATTGAGGGGAGGTGTGGAGCCAGCACCCTCCCTTCCCCCCACCCTCTGAGTTCTTATTTCCTGATGGCCTGTTCTGTCACTGGGATGGTCCTTTAGTTTCCCCTGGGCCCCACACTGATCATGCTCACAGCCCCATCCTAGACAGGGGGATCAGTAGGCATTGTGGGTCATGAGTCTGCTGTGGGCACTGCACAGATGGAGCCACCTCTGACCTTGACACAGGAGTTCAGTCAGAAATGCAGCCAGTGCCTGATAACCCTCTGCGCTGGCCATACACAGCTTCATCAGTCTCTGGCTGCCCCCAGCTCTTGGCCCAACCAGGGAGTGCAGCCCTGGCCTTTGTCTCAGGAGTGAGAAGCCAATTATGCTATCATTCAGGGCACTCACATTTGGGAAGGGGGAGTCTGCTGGGTGGGCTATTGTGGCCTCATGCTCCCCACTAAAGGCCATTTCTCCTTGATTGAGCTGAGTAGAAAATTCTCCCAGGAGGTAACAGCTCCTGGAGAGTGAGAGAGGGAGGAGTTGGGTAAGGGTATCTGGACACACCCAAGTTGAAGTAGGGAAGGAATTTCAAATCCTCCAGGCTAAATGGAGAGCAGCAGCTAGCCCCTGGTCACCACTGCTAGCACCCACTCAGTAAATATTTGACGGGCTGCTTTCTTCCCTCCCACTAATTACCAAGTGCTATGTTAGAAAGGCGATAAAATGTAAATTGTATGAGGTCTCTGCCTTAAGGAGCAAACAGTGCTGGGTGGAGGGATAGGAAGAAGGAACAAAAAGGCTGTCTGAAGTCGAAAAATGCCCAAAGAGGTTGGGCAAGACCCAGTGACCATGACCTCCACCCACCCTGCAGACCCCATAGGTAAACAGTGGGAAGAGGAGGAAGAAGGCTTCAGCTGTGCTCTAGACCTGGTGAAGCACATCCGAAGCGAGTTTGGTGACTACTTTGACATCTGTGTGGCAGGTGAGTGTCTGGAGCCTCCCAGTGGGTGGGGACAGAGAGGGGAAGGGACGAGACGCCCAGGACTGAGCAGAGGCACAGAGAGCCGCCAGTATTCGACCGGGACATGGTTATCAAGTGCTCCGAGGGCCTGAGTTTGTGCTGGATAAGGGAGGTGCAAAGGTGAGTTAATGTCCTCACCCTCATTCTATCATCTACTGCCCTCCCAACGCCACTACCACCCCCTTAAGTATTTGTTCTCTACATTTTCATGCTCTTATCTTAGCCTCCTTTCTAGCTCTATTCTTCTATATGGCACACACACACAAAAAAAAAGAGTATTTACTAAGAGGGTTCCAAGGGACAGGGGATCTCAGAAACCATGGTCAGGAAATGGCAGCAGATCTCACTAAGCCCTGGAACCAAGAACCAGGAAGCAGTCAAACCAAGGCCAAACCTCATGTTCTCGGGGCCACAAGTCACCCATCTCTGCCTCCTGCTGCACAAATGCCTCCTGCTTCATCCCACAGACCTGATATATATGCTTCTCTACAGACCCAACCACCAGCATCTCCTGAGTGTACACAGTGTCTGTTTCAGTCAGTAGCCCAGACCTATTGACAGGTCTCAATCTCAGTTCCAAATTCCTGGGAAAGAGAATCTGATTGGCCTAACTGTAGTTCCATTGACTGTAGCCAGGAGGCCAGGTTCACCTGAGAGAACATGATGGGGTGGCCTTCCCTCCCACCCCCACTCATTGGAGTTGGGCCTTTAGCTTCTCAAATGGGGGCACAGGTACAGTGAGACAGTGTGGGGCACACAAGAAACCACTGATTAACTTGGCACCTATTCTTGGAATGACTAAACCCATTGCCGAGTCAATTCTGACTCATAGCGATCCTATAGGACAGAGTAGAACTGCCCCATAGGGTTTCCAAGGAGCAGCTGGTAGACTTGAACTGCCAACCTTTTGGTTTGCAGCCATAGCTGTTAAACACCGTGCCACCAGGGCTCCCTTGGAATGAGTTTTCTCAAATATTTTGGGGAAAATAATACCATTTTTATACTAAAACAAATATGGCTAGATTATGGAATAGCATGTTAAAATGTATGCCTTTAAAAAACAAGCCATGTGGCTTCAAGGAAATTACTCACTTGTCATGAGTGAGTGACTTTCAGCTCTATCCCCGTCCCCAAATACATGCCCACTCTCAGTCAACAGAATGCTTAGGGGGATACGTTTTGGAAGCACTGAGAAGAACAGGTATTCTCTACTGTTCAAATGTTCATTGCTCATATTGGCCGTAAGGCAGTCAGTTAATTGGGGAATGTGGATAGGTGCACCAGTCATGGGTGGGGTTGGCCATGGTTGGGAACTAGCAAAGCTCTGCGCTCACAGTGGCTGCACAGTGTTGTGCTTGGCTTATCATCAAGTGGGTGATAAAGAAGATCAGTGGATAAGCAGCACCAAGCTGGTGGTGATAGCAAAAGAATGTAGTAAATTGAGCAGAATCCAAATGTAATCAAATGCTAGATTTGTTCAGTGACATTTAGGCTTTGTGGTTATATAGTTTCAGCTGTTGTAAGCCTCTTTGTTTCTGAAATTCCTACTGGAAAAATAGCCTCGTCATTGAAAGTGTGAAAGTCTGGTGCTTGATCCTGCCCCGCACCCCCACCCCTACTATTGAAACAATTGTTTTTATGTCCACATAAGTTTTGATGACTTGGGGTTCTGAAGAACATAATTCCCTTATCATAGCCAACAGCTCAGATATCAGGCCTCCCCCTCCCTAGTCGGGGGTCCTGTCCTGGTTCAGGCTGAGGAAGCCAGAGCTCCCCCTGTGGTTTCATTAAGGCCTACAGTCAGCCCTGTCCTGCCCTGTCCAAGCAGGGCCACTAGTCAGTTCAGTGGTTAGGGAGGGTCCATAGAGTTCCAGGCAGTTCTGGAGCCCCATCTTCGGTATCATGGAAGATGATTCTCCGAGCTGCCCCAGTATTTGCAGACTTAAGGAGCTCATTGTTTTGTGGGGTTGCTCGTTCCCTCCTTAGGCAGCTTTCTGGAACTAGTCCTGGTTCTGCCATTAGGAGCAACACAGAATCCAACTAATAAGGAATTAGACTAAAATGAATCCTTTTTCCCCATGACAGAAAGTAGTTACCATGTTTTGGTGGTTCTTCAAAATGTCTCCACTTCTTTCAGTCCTTCCTTGTATAACATGGTTTCTAACTTTTCACTCTCTCAGACCCCTGAGTAGTTTTAGTTAAAAACAATGTTTCAATCCAGTGCCTAGAGTCAAATACAGTACCTCAAGAGCTGCCTGACTAGTGCTGAGCATAACATTTCTTCTTTTCCATCATCACAAAGTACAGTCCTGATTTGCCTGGCTGGCTGCAAGGGAGGTGAGGCAGGACAGTATGGGGAGTGGGGAGCCATCCACCCCCACTCCTGGGAGAGCAGTGGGAAACCAGGTCCCACCGAGGGCCATCTCTGTGGTGAAGGAGCCCATTAGCTGTGAGCCCAGCCACTTGTGGCTTCAGCTCGGCCCATGCTGAGTGTTGGGAAGTGTGATCCGGAACCCCGAGGCAGAGGACTCCCTGTTTCAGGCTCTCTGGTTTCTTCATCACTCACTTTGAGCATGTAGAGGCCAGCCTTTCCCTATTGTCATCCCTGTTGGCAGGTTACCCCAAAGGCCACCCCGAAGCCGTGAGCTTCGAGGCAGACCTGAAGTACTTGAAGGAGAAGGTATCTGCAGGAGCCGACTTCATCATCACCCAGCTTTTCTTTGAGGCTGACACATTCTTCCGCTTTGTTAAGGCTTGCACCGAGATAGGCATTACCTGCCCTATCCTCCCCGGAATCTTTCCTATTCAGGTGAGGGTCCCAGAAGGGCTAATAGACTCCCTCCATTGCCCCCATCCAACACAGCCAGGGCTCTGGGGCCAAGTGCTGAGTTCACACTGAAGTTCTTCTGTGATGCTTACTAGATTTCCCACCAGAGAGTCAGATGTGCCAGACCTTGCAAAGAAATGTCATCTTGCCGCCCCATTTTGGTTGCATCTAATTTTCCCCCCAAATACCCAGCAGTGTGTTGGAGGGGATCGGTCTACTTTGGCCTATAGACAAGTAGTATCACAAGAGCTTATAACTCTCATTTTGATGATGAGAGGGTTAAATCAGTGTTTCCCAAACTTCGCTGATCATCAGAATCATTTGATAAGCTTGTTCAAAAGGTAGATTTCCGGGTCCCACCCCTAGAAGTTCTGTTTAGTAGATTTGAGGTGTATAGATTTTACTTCTTAAGTTATACAGGTGATTCTGATGATCAGTGAGGCTTGGGAACCACTGGGTTAGATGACCACCATGTTATCAATGAGTACACCTAGGGGTTAAAGGACTGGCTCAGACTGATGGCCGAACTACAGTTGCTGTACATAGGAAAGAGAGGGGCAAGGAGGACAAACCAATGAACTCACAGAATACGGCCCAGCTCTCCTGGGTCACTCTGCATTGCACTGCAGTTGGCCAGAAGACACAGGGGGATGGAAAGGCGGTAAGAGCTGGACTGGGAGATGGCACCCACCGCCCCTCGTGTCTGGACAGGGCTACCACTCCCTTCGGCAGCTTGTGAAGCTGTCCAAGCTGGAGGTGCCGCAGACAATCAAGGATGTGATCGAGCCCATCAAAGACAACGACGCTGCCATCCGCAGCTACGGCATCGAGCTGGCTGTGAGCCTTTGCCGGGACCTCCTGGCGAGCGGCCTGGTGCCGGGTCTCCACTTCTATACACTCAACCGTGAGGTGGCCACCACTGAAGTGCTGAAACGCCTGGGCCTGTGGACCGAGGACCCCAGGTAAGGACAGTGGCCCTGCGTTCAGGCCAGGGGAGCCACGGAGGAAAGTCAGGTGGTCAGGGAAGTCAGAAGTCACGGGTAGAGCTGTGCCCTAGCAGTGCTGGCCACCCAGGGTGGTACCCAGGCATGTTCTGCACCCTCGCTGGCTAGGCACACTTGGGGTTCTACTTGGCAAGAACACCATGTGCAGCTTAAGATTTACAAGTCAGACCAAAGAACCCAGGTCCATTGGGGCTCCCCTCCTTCCTGTTCCTGCTAACCCACTGAAACCAAACCCATTGCCATTCCAACTCATAGCGACCCTATAGGACAGAGTAGAAGTGCCCCATAGGGTTTCTGAAGCTGTAAATCTTTAAAGAAGCAGACTGCCACATCTTTCTCCCGTGTTGCGGCTGGTGGGTTCGAACCGGCAACCTTTTGGTTAGCGCCAAGCACTTAACCACCGCGCCACCAGAGCTCCTTTCTTGCTTCCTCTAGCTGGTCCCTTATCCTGTGGTCTCCCTTCTTACCCAGGCGTCCCCTACCCTGGGCTCTCAGTGCCCACCCCAAGCGCCGGGAAGAAGATGTGCGTCCCATCTTTTGGGCCTCCAGACCAAAGAGTTACATCTACCGCACCCAAGAGTGGGACGAGTTCCCGAATGGCCGCTGGTGAGCTCTGCAGACACTCTACTGCAAAGAAATCCTATTTCGAAAGGATTGACAGGAATGGGTCCTTGGGGCATGTGGGTGGTAACTGTCCCTTCTCTCAGGAGCCCAAGGTCAGGGGTGTGCCTTGACCTCAGGCACCTTCTCCTCCAGGGGCAATTCCTCCTCTCCAGCCTTTGGGGAGCTGAAGGACTACTACCTCTTCTACCTGAAAAGCAAGTCCCCGAGGGAAGAGCTGCTCAAGATGTGGGGGGAGGAGCTGACCAGTGAAGAAAGTGTCTTTGAAGTCTTTGCCCACTACCTCTCAGGAGAGCCAAATCGGAATGGCTGCAAGGTGAGTGGTGCTGGGGCGGAAACCCAGTTACTGCCTCGCCCTGTCTCCAGCCTTGGGCTAGACCTTGGGGCTGTGACCTCCTTGCTCTGTGCCTCGTCCCCTCCATGTCCCAGATGTGGCAACTTGGCACAGGGAGAAGGGTGAGTTGGGAAACCTCTACCTGGGGATGCCTGCAAGGAGCTTCTGTGGGGTGTCAGCCATAGAAGTCAGTGGGGACACCTCTCAGTCATCCAGGGAAGATGGGGAGCTTTAAGAACTGACCATGAGAGGGAGGGGCCCAGGCGGCCATATCCGATCTCTGCCCCAGCCAGCTCACCTTCTCTCCCAGGTGACTTGTCTGCCCTGGAATGATGAGCCCTTGGCGGCTGAGACCAACCTGATGAAGGAGGAGCTGCTGCGAGTGAATCGGCAGGGCATCCTCACCATCAACTCCCAGCCTAACATCAACGGGAAGCCATCCTCTGACCCCATCGTGGGCTGGGGCCCCAGCGGGGGCTATGTCTTCCAGAAGGTGTGGCAGGGGTGCACGACCAGCACTCGGGTTCTCCAGAGGGTGGGGGAGGGAGAAGCCTTTCTGTCCTGGCGTGCTTTGTTCTGAACAGCAGTGGGTCAGAGTGGACCAGAGCTTATGCTTTAAGTCACACAGACCTGGGTTCAAATCTGGGTTCTGCCATTTACTAGCTCCGTGATGTTGGACAGGCCACTTGACTTCTCTGAGCCTCAGTTATCTCGTATGTAAAATGGGGATACACCTCATCCTGTCCTGGGGTTGAACTGTGGCAAAGCATCTAAAGTGCTCAGCACAGCAGGAATAGCACAGAGGGAATTCACTAAATGAGTTGACCCGTCTGCTAGGGCTGTCAGAGTTAAAATTACATTCTAAAGTCCATGGGCTCTGGAGTCAGAAAGATGTGGGTTTGAGTATCAGCTTTGCTGTTTACCATCAGTGTGGCCAAGTTGCTTAACTTCTCTAAACTTAGTTTCCTCATCTGTAAAATGGGGGCAATAGTGCCTACCCTGCAGTATCATGAGCATCACAGCAAATGGATGTGAATATTCCCAGCCTAATCCCTGATTAAAAAAAAAGACAAACCCGTTGCCATCAAGTTGATTCTGAGTCATAGTGACCCTACAGGACAGAGTAGAACCACCCCATAGGGTTTCCAAGGAGTGCCTGGTGGATTCAAACTGCCGACCAGGGTTTCCTGATGGTGCTAAAGAAGCCCTCAGTGTCATTGTTATCATCCAGTGATGACGAGGATGGCATGTGTCATACCTCTCACATGCCTTAACTTATCAAACCAGACCTTTTGCACAGCTCCCGGAATGGCCTCTCCGTGGAGCCTTCCATGATTGGAGGAAAGGTGGCAGGCATTCCTCAGGCCTGTCCAAGCTGAGAATCTCACATACCTCCTTCCCTCGCCCTTTTCAATGTATTTGCCAATCATAGCTCCTGATTTGATCCATGTGTGGCCCCCACTAGTCCCAGTGGCCTAGGTGTCCCGCCATCCGTGTCTGCAGGGTCCCCCCCTGGGACAGCTGGGGGCAGGCATTTGCTGCCTGGTGCGTGGAGCACACAGCACACCTGGCAGCCCACAGAAGGTGCTGGGCACACACTGGGGTTGCCGTGACAAATGTCTGTCTCCCCCACAGGCCTATTTAGAGTTCTTCACTTCCCGCGAGACCGTGGAAGCGCTGCTGCAAGTGCTGAAGAGATACGAGCTCCGGGTCAATTACCACATTGTAGACGTGAAGGTAGGCTGGCTCTAGGGGCTCAGACAGGAGGGGCCGAGGGCCCCCACAACTATTTCTTCATTTAGCAATCACCGAGACCTAGCCCAGGCCAGGCATTGTACTAGACAGATACAGACAGAGCCAGGCTCTGCCCTCTGAGAGCTCCCAGCTAGAGGGGTAGACAGACAGACGGACAATTGCAGATCAGTGCAAGTAGGAAAAGAAAGTTCAGTTTAGGATGCCATGGGATCCCCGAGGAGGGACATCTAACCTGGAGGTCAGCTTCTTGTGTGGCCTGCGTCTTTAAGGGTGGAGGGGAGTTGGCCAGAGGGGAGAGGGCATTCCAGGGAAAGGGTGGAGGATGTGCCAAGGCATCCGAGCTGCCTGGCCTACAGGGGAAAATGCTGTGGGTTGAGGAACGAGGCTAACGTGGGAGGCAGGAGCCGGGTCCTCAGAGGTCTTGAATGCCGTGCTCAGAATTGGGTTTTCACCCAACGGCAGCAGGAAACACTTCTCCAACAGTAGAGTGACGTGGTTGCATGTTTAATTTTAGGAAGATCACAGTGAGCTGCTATCCGGCTAACAGGCAGGGGAGATCAGAGCCAGGGATGCTAATTAGGAGGCTCTGAGTAATCTAAGTAGAAGACAGAGGCCCGGCAGTGGGCTGGACCAGAGGGAACCAATTAGAGTAAGCAAGTAGAACCAACTGGATGTAGAGGCTGATGGGAGCCCAGCAAGGAGGAAGGAAGTGCTCAGGGGACCTCTAGGTCTCAGGCTCACATGGGGAGGGGAGCTAGGAGGAGGGCAGGCTGTAGGGGATGATACAAGATATTAAGCAGAGAAGGGGCCCCAGTGAGTTGGGGTTCTCCAGGCAATAAAAGCGATACAGTTGTCTTTGTCCCAGATCTGATCTCACCCCTCACCCACCCCATCCCCAGGGTGAAAACATCACCAACGCCCCCGACCTGCGACCCAATGCAGTCACTTGGGGCATCTTCCCTGGGCGAGAGATCATCCAGCCCACAGTGGTAGACCCCATCAGCTTCATGTTCTGGAAGGTAAAGGAGCTGGGAGTGAGCTGCCCTCCCTATCCTGGAACCTTGGGGTTGCAGTATTGCTGGGTCCTTAGTGTGTGGCTGAAGGCCACACCCCCAGGGCATCCAGCTTGGCCTTGGTGGCAGGAGGCCAACTCTGATTCACCAGGGTTGTACTCAACATGTTTATTTCTGGGTGGGGGTGGGGGTGGGGTGGCTCTGGTAGCAGGCCTTGTTCTATTCTTGGAGATGCCCTGTTGGGAGCAGGCAGAAAGAAGCCCTTGGGCGCTGAGCATGGATGGGGCCCTGACCTGTGGGCAGCCTGTTAACCTTGCCTGTATGCAGGATGAGGCCTTTGCCCTGTGGATTGAGCAATGGGGCAAGCTGTACGAGGAGGAGTCCCCATCCCGCATGATCATCCAGTACATCCACGACAACTACTTCCTCGTAAACCTGGTGGACAACGAGTTTCCATTGGACAACTGCCTGTGGCAGGTGGTGGAGGACACCTTTGAGCTGCTCAACAGGCCCGCTCCAGAATGAGAGCCAGACAGAGGCTCTGTCATCACCCAGCCTCCTGACATCCTTAGCTGGGGCCACTTGAGTCCCACCTTCCTCCCCTGCAAGTCCTGATTCTCCCAGGAACCCTCTTCTCCCTCCCTTCTCTCCAAGCCCTGGCCTCCACCCCCACGTGACGATGGCAACTAGACTGCTGCGAGGCTTCCAGGCTTTGGCTGGACCTGACTTGGCCCCACATGGAGCCTGGCATTCCCTATGGGGTTCCCTGCCGTCCTGCAGAGAGCCACGTTGGGGGCACAGCATCTTCCCTGAGAGGGGAGGAGGCTGACTATTGCACGCTGAGCCTTTCTACCAAGCCCCTTGGAGCCAGGCTGAGACTTCAGATGAACTTGCAGTCAGGCCCATGCAAGATGGGTGGAGTGGATGTGGGCACAGGCTGTCGGCAGAAGAGACATGGCTCCAAGACACTGGCAGCTGGGCACTGCCCACTTGTGATCGAAGGTGCAAACCACTACCTGCTTACTACTTACTAGGCTGGCCAAGGCGCCAGGCCCCTGGACAGGCCTGGGGCTGAAACCTAACGAGGCAAGCATTTCTTGCCACCACCTACTGGACAGCTCAGCTGGGTTTTTCACCTATGCTGCTTTTTGAAATAGTTGTCTGTGTATTCTGGTGGCTCAACAGAGAAAATGTCCCTGAAGAGTTAAAGATAGTCTGCACCCTTATGCTTGATGGAGCCCTTGCCCCTCCCCTACTTCCCCATCAAGGGATACACTGCACCCATTCCTGTCAAGGGCAAAGACAGGTTCTTCAAGATTCACAGAGGAGGGGGGCTGAAGCACCCAGAGTCACTTTTCACTTCCCGGGCCAGCCTCTGGGCAGAGAAGCAGCCTTAGGAGAGATGGAGCAGGAGAAGCTACTAGGACTCAGGAGGGCATTTTACTGTCCCTCAGCCCCATCCCCAAGCCTCAGCCCACACTTGCCGGATGGGTGGGCCATAGTTCCTTCCTCTGGGAAGGCCAGCTCACTTCTGCTTTTGCCTTTATGAGAACAAGTCACAGCTGCAGCTGGGCCCCAGCTCTGCCCTGAGTCCGCCATGTCCAGGGGCTTGGGCATCTTCCAGCTTGCTTGGGGGTCTCAGGCTGCTGTTGGCTCCACTTCGGCCCTTGGCTGCCAGGCGCTGGTGCCACTTCTCAAAAGCCTGGAGTCAGGAAGGGAGGAAGCTGTGTGCCTTTGTCTTGGGCTCCCCCCTGGGTCTGTACTGTATGTGCCAGGGTCACAGCTGTGCCCAGCGCACACAGTCTCCCTGAGGGTGGCTGAGGCCCCTCCCCCTCCCCAGGGCAAATGCACAGGCTCAAAATAGATCTGACTTCAGCCTGAGAAGCTGTTCAGAGCAGGGGCAAAGGAGGGAGGGGTCCTCCAGGGACCCAGGCCCTACAAGGGCAAGTTTTGAGCGGCAGCTGTGAGCACAGGCCACGCCTTGTTACCAAGCTGAGTGGTGGGGGTGGGGCTGGGCATGTGGCTCCCGGCCAAACCAAGGGCTCCAAATTTCAAACTCATTTTTATGGTCAGACAGATCCCTCGTAAAATGAAGGGGCCCGGGGTGTGGTAAGGAGCCCTGGTGGCTCAGTGGTTAAGCACTAGGCTGTTAACCAAACAGTTCAGTGGTTTGCATCCACCAGCTGCTCCATGGAAGAAAGATGTGGCAGTCTGCTTCTGTAAAGATTATAGCCTTGGAAGCCTTATGGGGCAGTTGTACTCTGTCCTGTAGGCCATCACGAATCGGAATTGACTTGATGCCAGTAGGTTGGGGCGTGGTGAGCACAGAGGGCGCTAGCTCAGAAATGTCCCCATGTGGCACTGGAATGGTCAACGGGTGACACTGGGTGGGGGCTGTACCACGTGGTACCTGGGAAAGGATGCAGTTGTCTTCTTGTTGCAGGACTCGCTGAGCCACCCACAGCTGCAGCACCCGCCGCCGCCATGTCCTCCAGGCCCATCTCAGGTGCCACTGTCTGAGCTGTGGGGACAGTGGGCAGAGAAGGCCCAGGGCTGGGTGTACCACTGCCTCCCACACCCGGGCTCCCTGGCTGCTCGTAGCCCTTTGTGGGTGGGAGGAGGAGACATCATCTGAAGAGTGTTAACAATGCAGATTCCTGGGCCTGACCCCCAGGTTTCAGACTTGGTAGGTCCGTAGACCGTACTTTGAAAAACACTTTCTTTTCTAGCGGTTAGGGTTGAGAAGTGGCTGGAATGGGGAGATGAGCCCCTGGGCTCTGAGGTCTCTCTTGGCTGGGGGAGCCTCCACTCACTAGGGTCCGTGCCAGCTGTTCTGCCCCATGAGCATCTACCCAGCGCTGCCATGCAGTTGCCAGGCACCTGGCCTGCTGGGAGCCCTGGAACTGGTGAAGCAGTGCCTCCAGGTGCAAGTGCTGTAGATTCATCCTGTGGGGAGAAGCCCCCGTGTGTGCCCTGAGCAGCATGACCCCTCGAGCTGGAAAGGGCCGCAAAGCCACTGGCCTGGGCCTGCTTCTCCAGATCCTGTAGGAGTGAGCACTGGCCCGGGGAGCCCAGCTCTGGCCCTGGCTCAGGCAAGCCCCGCCCCACTGACCCTGACCCTCCACACCCACACAGAGCTGCCCTCAACCACCCCCCCACCCCCCGCGCACAGCTGCCCTCATCCAGAACGCCCACGCACAGCTGTCTTCACCCAGACGCCCCCACCCCCGCAAACAGCTGCCTTCATGCAGAACGCCCAGCGCCCAGCTACCCTCATTCAGACCCCCCACGCCCATGCACAGCTGTCTTCACCCAGACCTCTCCCATGGCCGTGCACCGCTGCCTTCACCCAGATCCCCCCTCCTGATACCTGCACACAGCTGCCTTCACCCAGACCCCCCTCCTGATACCTGCGCACAGCTGCCCTCACCCCAGCCTCCTCTGATAGGCCTCTCGGGTGCCTTTGAGGGCTCTGCTCTCAGAGCTGCAGTCTCCAGCTGGTCCTGTAGGGGGCCTGCTGGGTGTCATGCAGAGAGGCAGGCCCTGGGCCCGGTGACAGCGCACAGGCGGCTGAAGCCAGAGCTGGACAGCATGACGGAGGGGAGGCCGGCAAGGGGCGAGGGGCCACCTGAGGTCCTGCTCTCTGTCGCCTGGAAAGGGGAGTTGAGTCATAGAGGTTAACTCATCATTCAGGCTGGCAAGCCCTCCCTTACTCTGAACACTCTTAGAAGGTGAGCACCATGACGAGGGTGGCCAACAAGCAGCAGCTTGGGACTGCTGCTGTGTGGAGTAGCGGCCAAAGAGGTGACGGGCAGGGCAGGAGAAAACCTCTCACCATGGCTGAGATTGCCAAGAGGAAGAAATGGGTGGGGAAGACACAGAACAAATACATATGAGACAGTTTCACCAAGAAGGCCCTTGGGGGCTGGGGACCACCTGCCCCCTGCACTTCAGACCTTGTCCCCAGGGGAATGTTCTCCTTACCCTGAGCCCAGGGCATTCCTTGCCGCTCGCTCTGGCCACTGAGGTGGTGGTGCTGTGCTGTCCCAGGCAGCCCAAGCCCCGGGGCCTGCGTCCAGCAGCTGCGGGTCTGACGGAATGGCCAGAGAGGAAAACCTGAGCTGATGGGCTCGAACTCCTGAGCCAGGGTGACCTGGCAGAATTCCCTTCCTGGCCTTCCCCTGATCGTTAGCAGGACCTCCTCAAGTGTGCACAAATGGGGTGGTTTCACATTGCATCACACTCTCCGTGTGCCCCAGGCTCCTCCAGACTGAGAAGGCACCCCACAGGAGTATGGCCAGAAGTACACACCTTGTCTCTTCCCATTCTCCCACGGGGCTCCCACTCCAGGAGAGCGGGCTCTGTGCTAGTCACTGTGGTAAGCATGTCCCATGTGACCCTGTGAAGCAGGTATCACTGTCCCCGCAGCGTGTAAGTGGCCCAACACCAGAGCCTGAGCCTCCAGCTATGACTGGTCAGACCAGGTGTTTTAAAGGGGACTCTGTGCCATGAGATGGCATCACACCTCCAAGTGGTGGCTGGCTGGGTATTTGCATTCACATGGTACAAAGGAAGGGGCCTAGAATTAGGAACCCTAGTTACCATTCCCTGCATTTACTTTTATTCCCTATAAGCCTCAGTTTCTCCATCAGTAAAATGGGATCCCTTTGCTTACAGGGATGGAATGAAAGTATTGATTAAAATCCTCTGAAAGTAAAACTACCCTATAAACACATATCTAGAAGTAAAATACCCTAAGACCCCAGAGTCTACTGTTGCCATTCACATGTGTGAATTCTGCAAATAACCAAAGCTAGTCTCTTTGAATACCATTTAAAAAAACACACACACTTTAAGACTGATGAGCAGCTTCATCGCGGGAAGTGTATGGTGGAGGGACGGCGCTGACACAGGCCTGGAAACAGATGTTCTGGTTCTACTACCAGTACCTGCTTGTCACAGCGCTCTACATGCTGGAGCCCTGGGAGCGGACTGTTCAATTCTATGCTGGTTTCCACTGTGAGGATGGATGGCACGGTATGCGGGGTACGTCTTCATGCACAGCACACATCATGGCAATGTTGCACTACTTTGAGATTGTACAGTGACCAAAATGTGACCAGGATCCAGAGGTTCCTCAGGGAGGAATCACCCTCTGAAGTTGGAACGGGACTTCATCAGATGTCATGATAAACTACTAGATGTCAACATAACCAACCTTATGAATATAAAGACTAAAATTCATGAGTAGGAGAATAATCCTGACTCGTGTTCTTTTTAATTTTAAAAGAGACTCTTGGAATTTTTGTCTATTTTAACTGTAGTCTTTTGTACTTTGATATTAATATTTTCTTAACATTTGTGACTGTGGAAGCTTTTATGAATGTAACTTTGAGTACATTTTAATTGTGTTCTGTTTTTAAAATCCGAAGCCATTAGTTGGACTTTACTGCTGTTGCTATTGAATGGCATATACATCAGCCTGGATTTTGTGTGAAACAATAAAAGATTTGGGGCAGCGGGGAGGGGAGAGAGGATATTTTACTGAGCACTGCTGACAAAAGACTTATCTGTAAGTTTGAACTCAGGAGTAGTTTTAGCTATGTAGACTCCACTCTATTTAACAGCTTTTGCTTTAAAACTATTAAAGCGTTTCTTAGCAATGAAAAACAGATCCTGGTAAAGTTAAAGGAACATTTCACCTTTAAAACAAAAATAACTTTAATCTTTTTCCTTAAAATCTTTCTAAAATCGACTATACCCTTCCTGGCATTCTCAAAGGAGCCCTGGTGGCGCAGTGGTTAAGTGTTTGGCTGCTAATCCTAAGACCGGTGGTTCGAACCCACCAGCCACTCTGTGGGAGAAAGATGTGGCAGTCTGCTTCCGTAAAGATTACAGCCTTGGAAACCCGGTGGGGCGGCTCTACTCTGTCCTGTAGGGTCACTATGAGTCAGAATGGACTCAGTGCATTTGGTTTTGGTTTTGGTTTTGGTTTTGGCATTCTCAGAATTCTTGGTGAGGCAGATCATCTTAGGAACATTCCTCTAGGAATGCTGCAATGTGGGGTTGAAGTAACTGGGGCTCTGTGTCCCTCAACGACCTGTCCCCAGACTGCCATGCAATGTCATTTCTTGAGCCTGGTTTTCATTGTTGCTGCTGTTTCCCTCTTACAAGGCCATCAAGCTCTTATCACTATTTGCTGTTGTCAGAATTAACTGCCTCTGGTCTGGAAAGGAATTGGCGGTTATCTTTCAGTAGATAAATTTATGGGCGAAATTTGCGACTGTTTTACTTTGTATTTTCTGATTTTTCTGTGATGAGCACGTTTCATTTTTTTCAATAAGAAAAAAGAAAACCTAACTGATAAAAATTGTTACTGTCCCTGTGTCCCTATTTTGGTCCTAGATGGCACTGGGATGTGTAATAAGTTCAAGTGTCTGTAGCCTAATAGACCGTGATCTGTCGCATTCGTCTTTGCAGCCAGCCCCCGTGCTGGGCTGGCACACGGTGCTCAGTACATGTTCGTGATGAGATCACACGTGCTGGAGTCAGCTGTCTGCCAGTCTGGAGACTGCCCATAAGCCAGGGGTTGCTGTTTTACTGGAACCAGTAGAGATGGTGTCAACAAGGAACAAGCTGATTCTAAGGCCAGTGGCCCATGTTCATTTTTGGACCTCCCACCCCACCTGCCACCAAGCATGGTATTTTCAATCATCTCATATGCATGCTAAAGTTGGGCAGTGAAAAAGGAAGACCGAAGAAGAATCGATACGTTTGAATTGTGGTGTTGGCAAAGAATATTGAATATACCATGGACTGCCAGAAGAACAAATAAATCTGACTTAGAAGAAGTACAGCCAGAATGCTCCTTAGAATTGAGGAACCAACTCAACTACACCTAACACCACCACCACCCCATCTGGGCCCCGCCTCACCTGCTTCCACGGGGCAGGGGCGTCCATAAGCAGTAGGAGGCGCCCTCTGTTGGCCAGCCTCAGGCAGTGCGTGTGGTCAGCCCTGGGCCTGGGGTGGACAGTGCCAGCCTCCTCAGCCTCAGCCCATGCTTCTTGCTGTACTCTGAGCAGTGCTGTCTGCCACTGGGCCCAGTGGGTCCGCAGGAGGAGCCTGAGCCCAGCCTGCCGGAGCTGGGCAAAAGCAGCTCGCTGGACTCGGGCCTGGGCTGCTGCCTGAGCCCAAGCCTCTAGGACCCTGGGGGAGAGGGAGGAGCCACAGCTGAGACCATGAGGGCTACCCACCCACAGCGACTCCTGTGAGGAGCCCTCCACAGTGCCCTGGCGTGGACCTGTGGGCAAAGCTCCAGGCCTGTGCCTCTCGTCCTCCACCCTTCTTCTGGAGAAATCTGGTTAAAATGGACATGGAGAACAGCCCACAAGGGTGGAATATCATACAACAGGGACAAGCATCCTGTTGAGGGGACAGAGAGAGGGTTGTCCTGCCAGCTATGTTTTCCCTCTGCTTTCCTCACCAGAACGTCTGTATTGAGCACTTGCTGTGTACCTGGCCCTGAGCTGAGTGCTTTCATACATAATCTCTAGTCCCCCCAGCCACCCTACAAGGCAGCGCTGTTGTCTTCCATTGACAGAGAACTGCCCAAGGAGGGTCGCCCAGCTAGAAAGTGGTGGAGCTGGGATTTGACCCCAGAACTAGCTGCAATGACCAGAATCACCTCTCCCTACCTCCCTGAGCCTCTCAGCCACAGAGCACCCTCCACCCTTGCTAAAAACAGAGCTCAAAGCCCGGTGGGGGCTGCCAAAGGCCATGGGGCACTCACTGGACGCGCAGCTTTCGGGCAGCATAGGCTCGGCTGACCTGGCACAGGCAGGACTCACGAACCGACAGCGTCCAGCACAGGGCCACCCCTGCCTGGACTTGGGCCTGGGCTCCCTCTTCTGCCTGCCGATGGGCCTCAAGGCGCAGGCCCAGGGCACCCCTCCGTGCTGTGAAGGCCTGCTGGGCCCAGGCCCGCCTCAGCTGCTTGCGCGCCCGGCCCTGTTGAACAGCCCTGCTCCAGTGGGCAATGGCATCCCAGGCCACGTGCTGCTCCTGGGTCCGGGATGCAGCCACTAGGGCTTCCCGCCATGCAGCAAATGCAGCCTCCAGTGCCCTTCTCTTCCAGCCAGCCTGGAAGGCTCGGTGCTGGGCTTGGAGCACCCCAGCCTCTCTCACAAGTCCACACCAGGACCGGAAGTGGCTGCAAAACAGGAGCAGGGGGAGGGGGGAGGGGGGATGGCGGAGGAGGGCCCAGCTGGCTCTTGGAGGGTAGGCAAAAGTCACAACTACCCAGTTACACCCTCGAAATGCCCAAGTACCATAGGTTACACACAGTTTTGCATACACAATCCTGTGTCTTAAAAATGTATGGACCACATAAAACAAAATGGGACTAATGAGGCACAGCACTCCAGGGACAAGGACTAGAAGGGGACAGGAAAGCTGGTGATAGGGAACCCAAGGTTGAGTAAGGACAGTGTTGACATGTAGTGGGGTTCTTAACCATTCTCATAGGGCAATATGTATACTAACTGTTTAATTAGAAACTATTTTGTGCTGTAAACCTTCATCTAAAGTGAGAATAGAGGACTTCCGGCAACACGGCACTCTAGGCAGAAGCACCATGCCATCCCTCCACAGCAAAGATCCGAAAAACTAAGCCAAACAGAAAACAGCAATCCTAAAACCCTAAAATCAAATGAAGAGATAAAGAACTCAGCCAAGCCCCAAAAGGAATAAGAAACTGACAGAGAACAGAGGGTGAGGAGACATACATGGAGAGGTCCCCTATTACTAATGCAGCATGGATCTGCCATCTTGGACTCCTATCAGAGACCAGTAAATAGGGGGTATGAGAAAGCAGCTTCATGGAGCTTCCAGCAGGAGACAGAACCGGTAACTGGTAAGATACGCTTTCCCACCCCCCACCCTTCTTCACCCCCACTCGGCCTCCTCTGCTTTCCGCGGCCCCAGTCTCTTGGCAGGGAAGCACCGGCTGCTTGGATTCTACCTGCCCGCACTGGCCGACTCCCTGAGTGCCATTTGTTGGCTGCTGGTGTTGCTTTTTTCTGCTTCTTTTGATTTCTTCCTTACCTCTCACCACCTCCCCCTCCTTTTGCTCAAATACCTGGCTCCGTGTGCCATCTTTGCTTCTTCCTGAGGGGCTGTGGAGCTCCATTCAAGTGTGCAACTGCTTCCCAGTCCATGCTGCCACGCTGCTGGGATCCCGGGGCTTTTTTTTTGTTTGTTTGTTTTCTTTTTCTTTTCTTGAGTTGGGAGCCCATTCTGGCCAGGCAGTGCTGTGTGGCTTGGGACCTACCCCGTCAGCTTGTGCAGATGCGCAGAGGGATCCCCGAGAGCATTTCTTTGTTCGTGGTTTTTTTTTTTTTTTTTTCTATTTTTTTGGGGGAGTTTTCTTGTTCTTTTTTTAAAATTTGTTTTGTTTTCTTTTCCCTCTTTTTCCCTTTTTGTCATTCTTCATTACTCAGTTTCTCATCTCTCTATACCTTCCTTCTCTTCCTGTCCCCTGGATAGCTGGCACTGAATACCTCTATGCCTCCTAGCCAGTCTGTACTTCAACACCTGGGAACAACTTCCCCAGACCTCGTAGCTGCACTGGTGGGATCCCTGGGAGTTTTGCTGTTCTTTTGTCTTTATAATTTTTATTTATTCATTCTTTTCTTTTTCTTCCCCTTTTTTGTTTTTCTCCATTTCATAGTGTCTCATCTCTCCACTCCAATGACAAGCTCACCTAGCACTCTTTTTGTTTGTATGCTTTTGGCTCCTGTTCCTCTGTCCTCTCTCCCATACCCGTCTTAGCTCCACACATCACAATCTCCCCCCTCCATCCTGCCTACCTGCACCGTGTGCTTAACATCACACCACCAAGCAGCACAGGCATGGTCTACTGGAACCTGCCCTGCACTGATTACCGACCAGCCCTGGTGGCTGTAGTAAGTGCCACAGACAACCCATCCCAGCAACTCCTCTTCAACTAGACCTGCCCTGCTGTACCATATCTGAGTGACTGACCCTGCCAATTGGAGAAGGAGGTGAAAAGTATCATGCCCACAGACAAGCAAACAACAAACAACACACAGCCCGCCTGCTCAGACATAGTCAAAAGAAAAAGGACAAAAAAAACAAAAACAAATCTACAATCAATAAATGAGAAAAATAACTACTGAATGCCCTGAAGACAGCAGACAATATCAAAACATTTACAAAAACAGGACAGGATGGTTCCAGTAGGTGTCCAAAGTAAAACACCAGATGACTTTCCAGTAGAAGAAAAAGCACTAGAACTACCTGATAGAGAATTCAAATCTCTA